ACTCCCCCCCCCCCCACCCCCAGTGTCTCTCCCTCATGGTCCTTTACACCCTCCCCCCTCTCTCTCTCTCTCTCTCTCTCTCTCTCTCTCTCAATAATTCATTGCCCAGCATGCATACCATGTCCACATTTTAACACATTTTCAATGCCTACTCATAATGGAACCAGTACATGATTATCTGTAATTTTAGGTATTAACAGTTTGCACTGTATCATTTTCCAGGAATTACAAACTATCATCAGGTCAATTAATGAACTCTTTCTACCTGTGTAGTGGCTCATTTCATATTTCAACATACAGAACTGTTGCTCAAAAGACATAACTAGAACCATATTTTATCATTTGAAATAGCAGTTTATACTGCTACAGACTAAAAAATAACTGTAATAATTTTATCATTTCAGGAGTTGTCAAAAATCACCATGCCAGTCATATTCAACGAACCCTTAAGTTTTCTACAACGTCTCACGGAGTACATGGAGTACCACTTCCTGTTGGAGACGGCCAACAATTGTGACGACCCTGTGGACAGGATACAGGTGAGGCACCCTGACATCCACTCTCTGCTGGACTGGACACTCACCTCTGGGTTGTTTACATTGAGTCGAGTCCCTGAGTTTTAGAACTGGAAGAATTATGTACTAGAAGGCTTCCTAAATTGCCAATATATCTTTGTTATTTTCATCCTGGACTTCACTGTCTACTAGACACTAACTTCCATATCATTTACACCCTGAGTTTTAGTAGGTACTGGTAGCTTGCTTCAGTTATCAATATACCTTTAAAGTTAGTTAGTTCAAAAATTATCCAGTGCACTAGCAGAAGTTTTTGTGATATTAAAATATATTTTAATATTAAAATATGAACTTTATACATAATATCTTTATATCATATTAATAAATTACTAGCTATGTCTCTGTGTTCCAGTATGTGACAGCATTTGCAGTGTCAGCCAGTGGCTCTAATTGGGACAGACTTGGTAAACCTTTCAACCCTCTTCTAGGAGAAACATATGAATATGTAAGGTACGTAAAGGTGTGGCTCTACACAAAAACTATTTGAAGTTTTTCAGAGTAATGAATGTAAATTTTGATCATTTTTGAACATAGACTAAGTATTATATTGAATTGTATGCGATATGAACATAATGTTATTTTTTGGAGTGAAAATGTCTGAATTGGACAACAACGTACACTTATACATATACTCTCACTTGGGCATGTGTGTGTGCATACGTGCGTATGCATGCATGTGTGCACCAAAGCTGCTCGTTCTTTATTCATGTGCTCCATCTCCATTTTCCTTTGGTAGAGAGGACCTTGGTTGGAAGATCATCTGTGAGCAGGTCAGTCACCACCCTCCAGTTAGTGCATTCCACGTGGAGTCACAGACCTACAGGTTCCATGGAACAATACTGCCCAAACTGAAGTTCTGGGGCAAGTCAGTGGAGGTCCAGCCCAAGGGAACGATAACAGTGGAGTTATTGAAGTAAGGTTCTACGCAATAAGACATCAGTTGTAAAGATGTTGGATTTAGGGTAAAAACTTTATTAGTCAGTCGGTCTTGAAAATTTTGTCAGAAGACCATTCTCCACCAATGTAATTTTTTTACACTTTGAAAATGTCATCAAACTTGAAAATGGGCCTCTGGATAATTTTGAAAGGTTTGTCACCTAATATGGACAAGTTGGATTCAGGCATTTGAAGATATTGATTAATATTTTAATGACAAAATTTTCAAATTTTTATCATAAGGATAATATGAAGGCATGTACTTGTTAAAGGCAGGTATTCGATAGAACCACTGGTCATTTATGTATCATGAGATGTGAAATTTTATGTTTTAATTTTTTCTTTTTCTGTTCCAGACATGGAGAGACATATACATGGCAAAATGTCAACTGTAGTGTGCACAATATCATAGTGGGGAAACTGTGGGTGGAACACGTGAGTACTGCATTCATGTCAGATTATTGGTGAAATTTGTAAAAATAAAATAGGATAATAAAGATAATCAGTATATGAAAATGATGGTAAAAAAATAGAATAAAATACAAAAATAAATAGTTATTTTAAATTTAATTCAGGTATTTGTTTTAAATGGTTTACCATGATACACTGTTTCTATAATTGTAATGTTTTCTTCTATTATTTCTTTATTTATTGTTTCACCAGTGTTACACCATTGTTAGTACTGATAGTACTTATGACTTAATGGAACAAGTATAATTATTTATTTATTTATTTTATTTATTTATTTATTTATTTATTCTCAGTCAGGACAGATGGAAGTTGTGAACCACCAAACCAATCACAGAGTGGTGCTCAATTACAAACCTTGTGGCTGGTTTGGCAAAGATGCACACAAACTGGAGGGAGTGGTCTTCAATCCAAGGTAGCTATTCTCCCTTCCTGATAAATGTCACATAGACGACATAAGATTTTTTTATGATTTATTATACAGCCATGTTTTGGGTCTTCCTCTTGCTGGGCTCTGTTCTTCGTTGTAAACTCGGGGTTTGTGCTCTAGTATAGGGTTTGTTTAATAGGATGGTGTCACATACCTCTGCCTTCATTTTGGAATGTTAAATTAATAAATTTTAAATCTTTATCAGTCTGAGTGTTGTGTTTATCTTATAGATTCATTTTATTATTTTAAAAATTAATTTCAAAGTGAATGTCCTTTAAATTAATTTTACTCAGAAGTATCTATTATGTGCAGTTTAGTTTGTTTATTTATTTATTTAGCCACAACTGTTTATTTTTTTAGATCAATGCTAAAATGAGTTGAACACTGGAATATTGATAAATTTTCAAGTTTTGATTTTCTGCATTCTGTTGATGAAATAAACTTTCACCGTTAATTTACCTGTTTTAGTAAAGAGAAGGTGAAGATCCTGTATGGAAGTTGGATAGACACCTTGTTCTCTGTGGACCCTGAAGTTTATGAAACTTGGATCAAATCGTCTGCGTCCAGAAACAAAAGCTCCACTGGGTCCAGTAATAACTCTATCTCAGGTTGTACAAGTGGTCAGGTAAGCTTCCACTAGTACATACGGTGTGTGTGTGTGTGTGTGTGTGTGTGTGTGTGAGAGAGACGGGGGAGTGAGACTTGTACGTGTTATATATATATATATTTACAGTTTGTGTATGTTTGTCATGTAAATGTGTGTTTTTCAGAGAAAAATACTGGTAAGTGAGTGTTTGTATGTGCATTTTGTAGAAACAACTTTCCCCATGCAATGTTATTACTATAGTGATGGAAAAAATATTTTCAAAAAAAAAAAATGGTGATCATATCCGATGAAATTTTAAACTGCATCTATTGGTAAATAAAATAAAAAATAAATAAGACATGATGCAAAAAGGGTATGAAAAAAGTCATTATATCATTTCTTCAGAATGGAAGCACGGGGGACTTTCACGAGTGTGAGGACAGCGAGTCGGCAGATGATGCCTTCGTGCCACGTAAAGCATCCACCTGTGATCTTCAACTGCCAGGCCAGGTGCTACTATGGCGAGCCGAGGAACGCCCCGCACTATCTAAGCAAGTAAGTATAGAGAACCACTCCATGAATTATTAGGAAATCAAACATTACTGTTGATGCCCTTTTTTTCGTTTTAATTTTTATATAGGGTCAGACATGTAACCAGCCATTTCATAGGTGCATCCTTTTTTCTGAAAAGTGGATGATTTTACCCCCAAAGTTGATCAAACTTTTAAAATGGTTGAAAATTGAAATGGAATTTTGATGGAGGGCAGACCATATTGATTGAGAGTAGACCCTCTGTTGTTAATAGGGCAGTTTTTTCTAACCCCCACAGCTACATTTAAAGGACTGAGGGTAAGATTATTGATATACAAAAGAAGAAAGCCGTGAATTATTAAAGCCAGAACAGAGATTCAACACTTGAAATGCATCATTGTATGTGTTGATCCATCCCATTCTCAACTGTTAAACAACTTGATACTTTAGTGAGCCAAAGCTGATTTGGGATACTGTAAACCATGATAACTTTGTAAAACAATATCCCATAATGCATGAAGATTTATATTATCCTATGCCCAGAATATCAGTTAATTTATTTATTTATTGAACTCTTTCTTTCTTTTCCTTCCAGTACTACAGTTTTACTGCCTTTGCAATAACTCTCAATGAGCTCTCTTCAGAACAAATCGCTACTCTGCCGCCCACAGATTCCCGCCTCAGACCAGATATACGGAAACTGGAGGATGGAGATATAGGTGAACATTGGCATCCAGCTTCCTACTTCTTATTTACTCATTTTATTCATCATTTAGAGTCGTGTGTGTGTTTGTGTGTGTGTGTGTGTTAGTCTATGTTAAAGTGGTATAATTTATTATTATAAAAGTAACAACAACTTTGTCTTCTCAATTATGAATAACTCAAAATAAAATGAATGAATTGAAGATCAATATTTGTTGGAGATTTTTAATGTTTAGTAGACGTTTTAATGCAATGTTTTAATATTGGTAGCATAATGGATACAGGGGTATTAGTTTAAAAAAAAATGAAAAATTATGGATGATTAATATTTGTATTTCATAGATGGTGCTGCTGAAGAGAAGGTTCGACTTGAGGAAAAACAGAGGGCAGCAAGGAAAGAGAGAAAGAAGAAAAAGGATGAATGGAGACCCTGGTAAGAAGTTGGATTATTTTCTTGAAGCTCAACAACCCTGTAACTTTATGAGAAGGCAGAGTGTGGTTAATATTGAATATTAAATAAGACACACACACACACACACACACACACACATACATTTACACATATATATATAAACTTAGTGCAGTATATTGAATCTGAAATAAGACGCAACACACACACACACACATATATATATAAACTTAGTGCAGTATATTAAACATTTAATTTGATGCAACATACAGAAACACACATGTACATACACACAACCAACTGCAGTATGACAACTGAATATCAGATAACACATAACTTGTATTTACATACATGCACCTTTATACAGATAGATACATAACTATTTATTAATCTTATTTCCCCCAGCTGGTTCATGCAGTGTCAGCACCCAGAGACGGGTAAAGAAGACTGGATGTACACGGGGGAGTATTGGGTCACACGGGACTGGAAAAGATGTCCAGATATATTTTAGACACCCTGTAGAAAATATCAACTGTATGGACTGGTGCTGCTGGAGGAGGCTGAGGCCCCCTGTATCATGTGAGCAGTATACAGAAGCACACAGGGTTGGGAAAGGCATCCAGAGGTATTTTAGACACCCTGTAGGAATGGTAAAGAAGGGCTGCTGCAGGATTTAGTAACAGGTGTGCTGTTAGATTTTGAGGCATTCTGTATGATGTAAATGGTGTACTGAGGTACACAACACCTGGTTGGGACAGTCGTCCAGGAGTATTTGATACACCTTGTATGTGCCAGTTGGAAATATCACAACTGAAACTGAGACAAGTCTGCATATATGGTATACGCCCTGTATAAAAATAAGAACTGCAATTGTGATCATATTATGGAAGTAGTCAGGTAAATTGTAACAGCTGACACTATGGTAAAGATACTGGAACTATTTGAAGCTACTTGAACAAATTGAACTGAAGCAACAGTTTGTGAGATCTGCCTGGCACCTCTCAGAAGACACCAGGTCCTCTTAAAAACCCTGAATTTGGATTGGTGAACCCCTGTATTTGAAGTGGAAAACCCCGTGCGCTTGGAGCTGTGAACCCTGCACTTGGGAGTTAAAATAGTTTCTTTGGGACAACAAAAAAGAAAAGAAACAAAAAATCCAGCAGCTGGCACTGCAGTAAAGAAATTTTCTCCAAGTGTAGAGGTACTGGGTACAGAACAGACATTTTGCAGTGCAAGGCATTTTGTATAGTCTAGAGAAGAATGCTGTAGAGAATGCTGTAAAGAATGCTTGCAGGGATCAAAGGTCAGACAGCCATGTTCAAATAGAATGGATGCCTTTTAGATGAGCTACGGAAAAAAATCTGAAAGAAAATACTTTCAATAAAGAACCAATTAACTACTCAGGTGCCTTAATGTATTTAAGCCCTCGGAAGAATGTATTCGGAACAATTTCAGCAGGGGTTTAAAGGTGTTATAAGTATGTCCAAATGTGATTTGACCCCCAAGACTGTAGTACAATTGGGACATGAGGCAGCTGGATCTGCTAAGAAAACAGAATTTATTTATTATTAACTCTGAAAATGAGTTGTATGTGATATATTGATATGGTCACAAAAATACAATGACTATTGGAATCCATATATATATTATGATATAGATAGTGATGGAATCAGAAGTTACATGATCAATGAATAACTGTTGCTGTAAAGATGATTTTGCTCCTGAGGACTGAAAAAAAAAAAGAGAAGTAAAGAGTATACCTCGTATAGTATATATTGCACATATAACGTATTCAATGGTGGAGCACCTTAGATTCTGCATCTTAGATTCTCTCACCTGTGTATTAGGGAAAGAAGCCCTGTACTCAAAGTGGTGAACCCCTGTATTCAGAGATGAGAACCCCTGCATGGGTGGGGGAGAACCCCTGCATTTGACATTGTGATCACTCTTTATTATGGCCAGAAACTGTATTAAGTAAGACTGTAGGAAGAAGTTCAGATATGAAGTAGCTATAGATATTGTAGAAAATGTTGACAAAATATTGTAGTGTTTACAGTTGCCCGTTCTATTTATTACTATTACAGAATATGATACTGTTACAGCAAACCTTTCTTGCCAAATCCTCCATTTAATCTCACTATTTATTGCATTTAATTTATAAATAGCACAGGTGAAATTTAATAATACAATTATACAGAACAGTGTCTGACAATTATTGTGTTTAAAATGGAATTATGATTTTAAAGAAAATGCCTTCTTTGTTCATAAAGTTTAAGATTGAGAAAAGTCAAGAGAGTGGTTAGGGGGATCAGAAATGTCCACTTTTCCAATGTTGTTAAATTCAAATGTAAGACTTAATGAGTTTATAGAATGCTGCCTAAAATGTTGAGGTATATGCACACATACAGTTGCGTTTTTTTAATGCATTCAGAGCCTGAGGGCATGTCTGAAAATAACAGCCAGTCAAAACATTTGATCACCTAATTGTCATTTCATTTTTGTTAATTGAGAAAACTTGAAAGTCAATGTGCAGTTTTTTTATCATTCTTATGGTCATCATTTTCATCATGTTCATTGGCTTTAATACAGATAATTTTCCGAAAAGTGTTTAAAACTTAAATTTGCATGGTTTGGTTTCATAAGAGACAGTTGCTGCTACACACTCTTATTCTTCTCCTTGCTGATTTTTTTCCCCGTTTTTCAATTGACTTGCACACATCATTTTGCAATACTTTTTAAATGACATTTACACACAGTCATTTAACAATGTTGAACACAAGTGAGTTCATGACAATGTGAAAACTTGTTTCAGGAAATGGCACCAGGTTGTGTAAAACCAGTTTGAATTAGCAATGGGAAATTAAAGGGATAATAACTCTTCGTATGATATCTATATTTCACAATAAAAACCTTGTGAATAACTCATAGAAATATAATATATTCTGTTTTACCACAAAAACAGCAGTTATAGCTTTTATTCTGATATCTGAACTTGTCTTTAGACCACGTGACCTCCATTGATGTCTATACTCTGTTAAAATCTCTTAAGAGATTTTAACAAAAAACCAAACTTTTTAGAAAAAAACCAGGGACTGACTTTGAATGTAAAAATGGATTCCTTAACCATTGGTAAGTATGGGAAAATTGTTGTTTACTCCAGGAAAATTCATTTTTTGGCCGAAACGAAGAGTTATTATTGCTTTAATACATGAGATGCTAGTCAGAGTATATTTCTACATATGTTTAAACTTTAAATAAACACTTTAAATTAATGGAACTGCACTGAATAATGTCAAAAATAATGCACCAGATGTGATACAAAGAAGTAGCATATTGTGAAATCTTCTTGAATTATAATGGAAAGTGTATAGGAAAAAAAATTAAAGTTTTGAGCGTCTTTTGCTTTTATTATTTATTAATTCGATTCACCCAATATATATTAAGAGAAATGGCATCATAATGGGATAGAGGCAATATTAATGTTAGGTTTGCAGCGAGTTGAAGGTTTAAAAGACACCACTCCTGCCGGTATATGCTCTATGTGGGAATATATAGATTATTATTGTCTTGTTTGACAGGTCCGTAAGCAAGGGGGGGGGGGNCGATTGATCCTTACTTGGAGTGATAATCGTAACCCTGGAAGGCAGGCGCGCGCGAAGTGTGTGTGGGGGGGGGGGGGGGGGGGGGGGGGCAAAGAACCACTCTTCTGACCAGAAAATGTCAGTTCCCAGTTGATTTTTTTTATGACAGAAGGTTCTCATGTAGGGTTACCCAAAGGGGTAAAAAAAAATTTTTCCAGAAAATGAACCTCCACTTTGAAGTTGCAATACGGTTGTGTAATATAGAGAATCAGAAAGGCTTGACAGAGTGCATGTAGATTACAGAACAGAACTATGTGTTGTATATTATAAGCAACGTAACTTGACATATACTGAAATAAAATGTTGCTGTTGACTATAATTGAAATCACTTTATGAAGTTTTTATTTTTATGCCTCAGATGTTGAGAGCCAAGGATACAGATGGGGTGTATCTTTCATACACGAATGTCACACGACTGCAATTGCTTTTTGTTCATGATATCTGTCAAGCATTTTGGTTATGTTTTTTCTGCAAGTGTTTGTGACTACATCTCTCTTGCTGCCTAAAGAAAATATAAACCAACAAATTTAATATTGAAGCATTTTAATGGTGAATAACCTCAACAACAACATTGAAGCAATTGTTAACATATTTCCGACAAACATTTCTCCTTTTAGGCCAAACATAAGTGCAGAGTTGGTTAACATGCATATAATATGTAATCAGGATCCATATAATAAGGGGAAGAATTAGCAAATCCAGTGTGGGCAATTTGAGCAGAAACAAAATGGTATAATTTTTTTCCGACAAAATTAATGCAAATTGCAATTTTTAATTTGCAAAAAAAAAGCGAAAAAACTCCAATTTCTCAAAATTTGGGTCGCTTGTACTCATTAATCAACTCAGCAAATTTGTGAGGCCTAAAGTATAACTATACACCGCACATATTGCACAAATACTAGAATGACACTTGCACCAAAATTCTTGACTGCTGCCAGATATTTGTGAACTATAGGTGGCACCGATGGTCAAGATCAGCGGGATTTCAATCGGCACTTAAACATATTAACTGCCAGTTAAATGTAATTGCATGTTACACCTACCAGTGTTCCTTCCATGCTTTAACGGTGTATCAACTTTAAAATATGGGAACATTTTTTCATTACACATAATAAATTATTATAATATTTACCATGTAGCATTGGATTTCATATTTATCCTTTGTGCCCATAAGCTGCAAAGGATGTGGAAAGCCATAATGCAAATTGAATACTTTTTGCCTATTTTAATCCAATGCATAAAATAAAAACTTAAAAGGTAAATTTGGAGTGAAATAAGCTTTGTCTAAATCTTAGGCAATCCTCCTTTCACTAAAAAAAATTAGAAGATCTTGGATATCTTACAATTTGTACTATAATACTTAACATCTGTGTCCACATTCTGTACATTTAACAATGTACTGTATATCTTCATGTCTTAGAAACCAACATTAATAATTTTAACTGTAGGGATAACAACAGGAACACCATGCTTTGTACCTGAAACACTGAATACTCAATTCCAAGGGAAAATTTGACTCATTCATTTGTACATGCTCCCAAGTTTTTGGATTGTTGATAGTAATAATAACAGGAAGGCAATAACACTTTCTTGTCTCTCCACAAAGACAGTTTCATGTCTCTCCAAACACACAGCTTCATGTTTCTCCACAAGTCTGTCTTCTTGGCAGACAGGTGTCTCTAAATCCCTAATAATATATGAAGAACCTGGTCACTGCCAACCCAAAGTCATCTTAAAGCTTGGCGTTCTTGCAATTAAAAGAACATAATGTGGTAGAGATACATTCTAAGTACCAAACACTGTCCAAAGCCCCACCTGGGATTATTGCTCCATGTTGTTTGAATTAATTGAATTTAACCACACATACTGAAATTACTGTTAATACTTGGTATATGTATTCAACACCATCTCCGATTTCTTGGATAAACTGCAGACATATTTGCTGCATTGCATCTTGCATCTACAAACTGTTATGAATATGGATTTCAGAAATTCTTTTTTGTCCTATGGACACCATTTAATATTGTCTCTTCACTCACACAATCTTTGTTAAAAGTTCATAAGTGAATGACAAACAGCAGCAGTGTTCAAACCCTGTAAAAGTTCTAGGTTGGTGGAAGGAACTGGCCATAAAAGCGACTGGTTACCTCTAGAAGCTATAAGCTCTGAGATCCGTTCTTGTCTGCTTGTCAACTTTAAAAGAAAATTGTTAACATAGCCAAATATGTGACCAGACCCACCCTCTGACCACCTGACCATCACTGATCTTGAGCAACCTGTCCTTCCCCTCTCCTCAAAATCTGTTATTCTCCAGTGGAGCCTTGATAAAGCCTTGATAAAGCACAGTCTGTTCACCATGTCAGGATGTACTAAAATTCCAGCTAGGCAAATCAGGAATTATTTCCACATCAATACACACTTAATACATTGAGCAGTGCTTCCATTAAAAAAGAAAAAAATGGGAGTGCTGTGATGCAGACATTACTTATCTCTCCAGAAGAGTGCAATAAACTTACACTGAAGTACTTCACTTGAACAATTCAATAAAATACCTTCACCAGCACTAACACATGGCACAAAGATGAAAGACAAGCAAGGTGGCCATTTTGGAACATGACAGCCATTTTGGAATTATTCACTTCCTTGCCTACATAGCACTGGACATTATCCATCCTCCTGAAGTCTATTAATAGCATCACAGTGACCTATATACAATCTATTAATAGAATCATAGTGACCTATTTACAAGTGTCCTGCTGCATATGGGTAGTATGTTACACATGTAGCTATCGCCAATCAAAGAGAAACGCCCAGACTTCCACGTTTTTCACAACAAAGTCCTCTTTTATAGTTAGGGGTTCGTTGCCAAAGGTCTGACAGAAGTGGGTTCTTCCGTGATAGAAGTCCTCATCCAGCCACAGACCAAATAAACCTCTGAAATAGAAATGTTTTCACACTACTTCATTTGATTCATAAATTAGACAGCAAAGCTGGCAAACAAGCAGACAACAAACAGGCCAAATTTTTTAAAACACGATGATAAAATTTACAAAACAAAAAGATCAATAACTTCCCAGCAAATGCAGAATATTATTATAATGTTACCATAACATCTATAACAAAAAAGCGTAATGGTAGCATTATGGTAACATAAGATGTTCTGTGTTTTTTCTGGGTTTATGGTTATAACAGGGAAGCACTTGGTCTAGTTGGTGAGGACCCTCAGGATAGATCAAGTTGGAGAGGAAGACTGCATGTCAGACTGGCCCCACCCTCTGTTGAGGATTAATCCTGGCCAGTATAAAATAAATTCGTATGATGATGATGATGATGACATACCAGAGTCACCTATACAGCGCCACAATGTTTGAAACAACCAACTAATTAACTGATATAAATAGCAGAAAGTGAAACTTTGGAGAGCTTGTGAAAGGGAGTCAAGTCCTAATTGCATGTTAGGACCTCTTAAAGTGGACCAGTCCAGTTTTTTGTTTTACTCAATTTAAAAAAAAAAAGGTCAAAGTTCATTGCTATTCTTAAATTATTTAGACACTCACTCTCCTGCTCCTATGGCCAGACTGTGCTGATTTCCTTTCACAAAGAATGTGTTCTCTCCCGTCCAATTGTATGTCTATGGAAAATATGATAAAATACATGTTACTGGGAAATATGAAAAAAAAAATCACATTATTAAGATCCTCAAATTTGTGGGCACATTATGTGAAAATTTTCTAGATTTTTCTGTGTTCAATGAATATATATATTCTATAACACATTTTTATAACAACAGTCTTGCTGCTATTTGTACTATTTAATTCTGTAGATTGTTAAGTCTACTGAACATTTAATTGAATTCTACTTTCCATAAATATATCATTATTATCATAGCACTGTTTAAAAAAATTATTGTACAATTATCTATTATAATTTCCTTTATCATCAAAATTTTAACCATTCTTATTATCAGTATTATTAGCACTGTTACCATTGTGACAGTTATAAAAATTTGCCAGAATTGGACTAACTTAAAATCAATTCAATTTTTGTGGTGATTGCATTCAAGTGATACGACACTCCCTGCAATCCTAAAATAAAGTCAAAATTTAGTCCAGCTAGTAGAGTTCTCTTCAGAGACACATTCTCGTCTCCCTGGTCCCAGTCATACCTTGAATTCCTCATAAAAGGTGAAGAGGAACGTCTCCCCAGTGCCGTAGAAATGATCGCTCACTTTGATTGGGTCAGATGTCAGGGCCCCAAATATCTGAAATCAGAGATAAAAAGCAATCCTTAAGGGTGGTTTGCAAAAATACCCAAATGTGCCTCAAACATCTTTCTGGAGACGGGTAAGAGCACTTTGTATAGACTCAGAACAAACCTGTTCATTCTTAGTCAAACAAGAAAAAATGGGTAGGCCAGTTTTTGGGATTTCCAGGTAAACTATGAACTCACAATCACCTTACCTCTTTATCCAGTACCTTTTAGTGTTTAAAAGTACTGGACTGTCCAGTTCTTTAGACATCCAGATAAACTATAAGTTCCCAATCAACCTACCTGTTCATCTGTATCTTTGATTACAATCATCACTGGGTTGTCCTGGTCTTTACATTACCAGATAAACTATAAACTCACAACCAACAAACCAACCTGTTCATCTGTATCTTTGATTACAATCATCACTGGGTTGTCCAGTCCCTGCATGAGTCTGTACAGTGTGTGGAGACTAAAACCATGCTGCTCTGTACTGTAGACCTGAGTCCAGGGGTAACCCTCCGCCCTAGGGGGAAGTTTCTTGTTCAGCTGAAAGAGAGGGAGAGAGAGAAAGGGTGTTAATAAAATGTGGTTTCTATTGTGTTTGATTTCAAAATGAATCCACGGGAAGTTCTCTGCCATCAGGGAAAACTTCTTGCTCAGCTGAAGAAGAGAGAGAGAGAGAGAAAGGGTGTTTACAAAATGTGGTGTCAATATTTTTTCAATATTTCAATTGGATTCAGGGAAAGGTCTTTGCCCTAAGAGGAAAGCTTCTTTTTCACCTAAAGAAGAGAGAGAAAGAGAGAGAGAGACAGAAAGGATGTTAATCAATTGTGGTGTAATTTTTTTTTAATATTTCAGTTGGATCCAGGGAAAGCTCTCCACCCTCAGGGGAAATTTCTTGTTCAGCTGAGAGAGAGAGAGAGAGAGAGTGTTATTAAATTGCCGTGTCAATATTTTTTCAATATTTCAATTGGATTCAGGGAAAACTCTTTGCCCTAAGAGGAAAGCTTCTTGTTCAGCTAAAGGCAAGAGAGAGAAGATGTTAATCAAATGTGGTGTCAACATTTTTTTATATTTCAGTTGGATCCAGAGGCAGTTCTATGCCCTTGGGGGAAACTTCTTGTGCAGAGAGAGTAAGCTGTTACTTAAATGTGGTGTCAATCATTTCTTTTCACTTTTCTTTCACAACTGAATCCACAGATCCTTCTCATCCCTGTAGACAGTTTAGTATACAAGTCTTCTTATAAATTCATGACATTCTATCTTTTCTTATGTGAAACTGAGTGTTTGTTTGTCTGTAAAAACAGGAAGCTTGACTGCAGTTTGTAAGTGTGTGAGGCTCAGGCAGTGTACTTAATTCTCCTGATACAAAAACCTTTAGACAAAACTTCCACAAGGCATATTTAACTGAATAATGCATTTAGTATTAAATTATGTGCATTATACAAGCATGCTATTTTGCACTTGGTCCACTTCCCATCCCCATCCCCCATCCCCCCCCCCCCCCCCCCAAGAAAAATATAATCCTTTTCATTTCTAATTTTGGTATTTTTTTTTTCAAGTTAACCTGACATGTAGGGCAGATTTCTTATATACTACACAAAAAAATAAAGATTTTTTTTTTCCTCATTCAAATGCATAATTCCCTTCTCTGGGACTTGATATTACCGAACTAATACCCTTGAAATGTACATATCATGTTTTACTCAATGAACTTCCACTGTCTACAAGCAGCCGGTCTTTCCCATCAAGTAAGTTGTTAAGTGAAAACGCCTGATCTTAATAACACACTTTAATGGATCATCTGCACCTATTTCACCATTTGCATAGCAGTCTGGCACTTAAACGACCCTCAGCATGCCATTTGTATTGTTCTTTTGACTCAAAAGAAGTTCTCTCTTGCGGCCTGTTCAGAACCAAGTTGATTCCCAGACTAACTGATCTGAGGATCAAATATGGCCGGCCCACTTAAAAGCTTGTGGTGTAATCCCCGCTGAGAATGCGGCAAGCATTCAAGTGGGTCGGCCATATTTGATCTGCAGATTAGTTAGTCCGCAGATCAACTTGGTTTTGAATAGTCCCTTGGCCAAACAGAGCTGCAATACCAGCCTGACGATGAACTTGCCGCTTCATTTGTTAAGTTACATATTTAAATTATCATAATCAAAAATAAAATAAAATTATAATAATATAGAACTATACACAGTATTAGCCCTTACTACAACTGATATGCATTATTAAATACAGTCAAGTATTATTATTATTATTATTATTATTATTATTATTATTATTATTGTTTTATATATTAAGAAGAGTAAACATCTGTTAAGTTTTAAACCTTATAAACTACTGATTTTCAATTACTACAGTAACTTTAGATTACAACCTTTATGTCTCAGTGGACAACACTAGTGAGTTTGTGGCACTAAAATTATGGTAAAAACTTTCATGGAGGTATCGTCAGTCATCTGAAAAAGACGTGAAACTCAGATTGGCTGTATGAACTTACAGCTTTAATGTGCTCCTCTTCTAGAATGGCAGACTTGCCTATCAGCTCTGGCAATGGTAACATGTCTTCTACTTCTAGAGCCTCCAGACGTCTGCGAGCCTCGTCCATGCTTACCACCTGAAAAACAGAGACAACAACCAAAATTTAAAATAAAATAACAAGAAATCAAAACTTCCTTTGATATTTCCGCATACTCTCCATGAAAAAAATGAGGAAAACTCAAATTTAAAAAAAAAATTTCCACGTGTAAAAAACATTTTAAAGCCTCAATATCTCCTGCCATGCCTTAGGCTGCCTATCTAAATAGCATGACCCAAATTTTATCGCAGAAACATATGATTTACATTTCATACTTATAAATACTTTTCACTTACGACTTAGTCTGCATCGCTGTCACATTATGTTATGATATCACTCACTTTCCAATCTTCTAAAAACAATTTTTTTTAGAACAACATTGACACAAATTAGGTACCTCACATGACAATGACCTCAATACCAAACACCCCATTATCAGCAAACTGGGCAGAAATCAGCAGAACTCTAGATACAAAACTATGGTCAAATGTATCTTTTACTGTCAAAACCTGCACACGCCATCCAGATGAAAATTATGATGTTAATAAAGTTATCCCACAGACGATAAGATCTGGGTGCAGTTCCACAAAAGAGGTAAAGCCTGACAATTGGTCTAAACTTTTAGTCAAACTTTGAGTCTACTTTGACTTCTGAGAAGTCAGTGATGTCCAGTTAAATGAAACACTGTGTCTGTTTTATAGCAGGAAAGACATTGGCTAAATGTTTAAAACCAATATAATATATTTAATGTTAGTGGACTACTATAGATTTAACTTGAACTTATTAGACCAAATTTTAGGGACCAAAAGTTCAGACCAATTTTCAGGCTATGTATCTTTTGTGAATTCGGCCCCAGTAAATGCTTATGCAAATCTAACTGGTTTTTAGGTAATGTAGCTGTGTAAATGAGCCATTTTAGTCATAAAAAGAGCCCATATCTTTTATCTAAAATATCAATCAAATAAGCATGAATATCTGTTTTGTTCTGAACAATTGAATTCTAGGATAAAATTACAAAAGAAGTGAAAATGATATGAGCCTTTAAAAAAAAAACATTTCAGTGGATCAAATCAGAAAGATCTAATAAAAAGGTATATAAAAACACACAGAGCTAAGTTAAAAAACAGAATTTTTTAATGGAAATCATTATTTTGTATTCTTTTCTGTTGTAAATTTTTGCACAAGTCACTTTTCTTCTTAGATTGCAATTTATTCCAGTATCTTTATTCTTACAAAATAACCATTCTTAATTCTTAAACTTTTGCTTTCTGACATTGACCAAACACTTTTCTTGAAAAAATTAAAGATTTTACCCATTTACAGGAATTCAAAGGGATAATAACTCTTCGTTTCGGCCAAAAAATGAATTTTCCTGGAGTAAACAACAATTTTCCCATACTTACCAATGGTTAATGAATCCATTTTTACATTCAAAGTTAGTCCCTGGTTTTTTTCTAAAAAGTTTGGTTTTTTCTTAAAATCTCTTAAGAGATTTTAACAGAGTATAGCCATCAATGGAGGTCACGTGGTCTAAAGACAAGCTCAGGTATCAGAATAATAGCTATAACTGCCATTTTTGTGGTAAAACAGAATATATTATATTTCTATGAGTTATTCACAATGTTTTTATTGTGAAATATAGATCTCATACGAAGAGTTATTATCCCTTTAATCTTAAAGTCATTTAATCATTCAAGTCATTTGATTTTATTCTAGTACAAAAATGATCAGATTGGAGATATCATGTTATTGTAATATTCTTCAAATAATCATCTAACCAAATCAGTCAGATAGATGTGAAACTGCCAAACACTATGGGTCCATTCCCAGACCCTATCGTACCAACTGTGGATTGATCTATCTCCGAGGAGATTCGTGCTAAAATGCAATCAACTTAAGCAGCTTAGATGTCTGTCATGCCCACTGAAGCTGCTAGGGGGTAATAAATTATCATTTAGCAGCTTCAGGAGGCATGCCAGACATCTAAGTCGCTAAAGCTGAAAGCAATTTAGTGAGAAACCCCTTAGAGATGGATCGATCCTGTTAGATTGATCTAGGTATCCTACCTCCCAATCCTTGGAGACAACTCGGGTTAATCGTCTTGGAATTCGTTTCGATGGCGTGACAAAGTGCTCCTCCTCCAGCGCCAGCTCTTCTTCCTCCTCGTCCTCACCGATCATAACGAAGCCTCGTTCCTGAGGGTCAATGTCAGACTCGTCTCCGTAGATGTTCGGAGACCATTGGATGAAAAATGCGTACAAGTGGTCCACCCTGAAGAAAAAGGAAAAAGTTTTTTTTATTTTTCAATAAGAATTTGATTCTCAAGTGTTAACACTGTCTTGCTTTATGTCATCAACAGTTTGGAGACCACTGAATGAAAATAAAATGGGAATTTATGGAGAAGTATATTCCAAAAAAAAAAACTTTGTTAAGACTAGATTTCTCAACATCCATGCATAGACATTAATTCTCAACATTTTTCATTACTTGTAATTTCAACTTATTATAAGCACTTCTTTTTATATCATCTTGCCAGATGATATCATTTATGGACCCAGCATTAATAATACATGTGTATGTACATATTGGAAACTTAATCTGATTCATTATATTACACTGCATCCAATCCAACTGTAATCTACCTAAACAATAATCCGTATAAAACTGGTGTAGAAACTTACGAAAACATAGTGCAGGAGTATAGCAAAAATGTGAAATTCTTCTGCCTTCAAACTGTTCTGACAATACCTCAAAAGATTTGACTGAAAATAGTGTATAAAGTCAACCTCGGCTGAGGTAGCACCAATCCACTAATTGAATGATCACTTTCAGAACACTCTCTCTCTCTATAATGAAGATTTGTCAACTACTGTTTAACTCCAGCAGCAGGGGAAAAACATGGCCAAGTCTGTTAAGACATCAAATAAAGATGACACAAATGATTTTTTTAATGTCAAGTAGATCTGCCTTCACCACATTAACCAGCAACTCCAGCTGTCATAGGCAGGTAAAACGTCCCATGCAGTCTTTTCCAAAAATCTTAGCATTCAAGTTCTCAAGAGACAAGGGATCCCTAATCCAGTTACAGTGTCCAATGCTTCAGTCGACACAGATGCCTCAGTAGTTAATGATTCCTGTTTCACACCTCAATGATACAGACAAAAGTGATCTCTTATCTGGTTAGCTTAGAAACAGTGTTCAAAGCTTCAGTTGAAGTGAAAACTGAAGTCTGGTGTCACACCTGAGTTATCCAACCTAATCCTTGCTTCACAAAACAACAACAGTCTTTTCAATTTTCTTCTTCCATTTAACAGTGGCTTCTTAAACTGTCCAATTATGCCCTCGTTGACTGATTGTTAAACTGTCCACTTTTAACAGCCCTCAGTAACACTTCTGTCTTTTATGGGACTCCTGACTTTTTCAACAAATATATTTTTATAAATATATTTGAACATCAACATTGATCTATGCCTCATCCATCTAACATGTCTCCAAAGCTGCCCATCCAGTAACTTCTTACACTGTCCATTAAGGCCCACTCAGTAACACCTCTTTGCCTTTTATCTGACTACCTGACTCTAACATCTGACCCCTGGGCACTGAGGCAGGTAGATTAACAGCCCTAGAGACACTAAAACAGCCTCACTTCATCAAAGACACAAGGTGGCTGGACCAGCTCCACACAAGTTCTATTTCAGACCGAAAGTTGGTCTTAACTTGAACAACTAAATTCTGGCCAATAACATTCAAGAAACTTTTGTATTTGTCCACTACAAATTAGCATTTATCATTCCAACAATTAGTATTAGCAATCTGTACAGGACTGCTACCGAATTATACGCCAGGCAGACTTAAAATTTCAGTCTAAAGCAACTTTGTATAACTGCCCCCCCCCCCTTCCCTGTCTGTGCTAAACAAAAAAGACACATCTAAGATTGCATAAAGACCCTGTGGCTATCTTTTGTTGTCTAATTATACCTGTCCTGCAGGTGAGTGGTGGGGGGAGGGGGTGATAACAGCCATAAACACAATTAAGGCCTTGTTTTCTATTGAGATCATGATCCAGAGTGATTCAAAAGCACGAAAGAGATGGAGGGAGGGTAAGATAACAGCCATCAACACAGGGTATCATCTCATATCAGTCTGGGACTGTTATCTACAGTGATTTTAAACCATATCATGTGAATGGTTTGAGGAGGGTAACATCACAGCCATAAACATAATCAAAGACCTTCCTCAGATTGTTATCTACAGAAGATTACCAAATGGCTAGACCATCCATAAAGACAGTCACCTATGTCTAGGGGATAATTCGATGTTTTTCTAACAACCCCATCAATATAAAAGTATGCATAATGCTGGTGTGTAGGTGAACCAGGGTCTTCTATAACCCTAGAGAGACTACAGCTGATTTGCATCCCCCCCCCCCCCCATCCAGTCTGATTCAGGGCCATAAGATATGCCAGACATGGTATGATCTATATTGTACGTAAACTGACTTGAGATATAGTGGAGTACAGTAAAAACTGTTGATGTCTCACAGCAGGCCTGGAGCAAGCTATTTTGAAGGGGGAGTTGGAAGTTTCTGAAAAGATGGGCTATTTGTACTGCAAAATCTGCTTACCCTGAAAACCCTGAACAAATTTTTATTCAGTGGACCTTTTTCAAGCCATAGGGCAACAGTTCAACCCCCCCCCCCAAAAAAAAAAAAAAAAAAGAAAAAAAAAAAAACACACGCACCCCGGTCCACTTAAGAAAAAATTAATATTATTATAATACTACAGACCAAAAGATATGGGGGGAAAAAAGGCAAAAAATAATTTGGAGTTAATGTTTTAACCAACTTGCAGGTCGTTTTCAACTTCCAAATGTAAAACTTGGCCCAGGGTAAGATGTCAAATTTATGGGTTCTTCACTCTCATTGTTCTCCAGAACACAGGTCCTAAATTAATGATATCCTTGTATAATTTTCAACTGCAGATTTATCCTATGTCTGCAACAGGTAATTATATCACTTAACACACTTTTGTCATAAGACTTAATGGTCAATTTGGCCCAACTTAATGGTCAATTTGGCCTATCTTAGATTGGCGCTTATGACAATGCCATGAGGTTCAAATTATGCATCAGTGTAAAAATAGGTGCACTTCGAATTGAACTAATATGAAAGAATGAGAGTGAACTCTTGAAGGTGCATAAATATCCCCCCTCCAAACTTCGTCCAGTCCTAGCTCTCTGACTGAAAAAAATATATTAATCCCAGAATCAGCGCTAGCAATTTGACAGAAAGACCCCAGACTGAGCCACAATACTTTACTGAAAGAAAATTTATCCTGCAGTGGGCCCTAGCTAATAGGTTAAAAGAAAATAAATAAATAAATAAATCTGACTAAAAGAAAATATACAATTTATAATCTGGGGTAGCGCTAGCAATTTTTTTTTTTTTTTTTTTTTGCTTAGCCAAATCACCACTTTTTTTCAATTTGTGGTCAAAATAATTATAATTTGACTATAACAAGTCAAATGAAGCCCTTTTTTTAGCCAGTTTAGTCAGTTTTAGCATTTGGCTGAATTGCCGAGAGTTATCCCTACCCCAGTAAATCTATATCCCCTTGAACCACTTACTTGTCCCTAGGTATGGCAAACCAGTATTCAGGCTTCTTCTTCTTCTTGCTGTAGGACTCAATGGGGCAAGTCTTGGAGACGGGTTTGTTGATGGGAATTCCCACCTTTAGACACAGATATAACGGAGGCTCATCCAAGCTGGTGGGAGAGGCACACTTGAAGAGGAGATCTGGAATGGAGTTTGTAGGAATGGGGAAACAAAAATACAAAACATATACAAAAATAAACTTAAGATCAACAAAACATGACACTAAAAGAAAACAAAAAAACTGACTGATTTAAGAGTCTTTTAAAATCAGATTTGCCGCTGTGAATTAGTCAATCTGATCTTAATTTATACAAATAAACCAACATAAAATATAAATAAATGAACACGCTTTGTTTATCATAAAGATAATAAATAACAGTTCATGCTGGCATTTTAAATTCTTAACTTTAATTTGGCTACAAAAATAAAACTAACAATATATATTTGAAAATTTGGCTTATTAAAATATTTTAATGTAATACGTGCTTTCTCAAAGTTACCACTTTACCATTCCTTACACTAAACCAAATAAACGCTGTAAATTGTAACATTTTAAATACAAAGAAATTAATCTTAATTTGTAAAATATTTCAGATCACAAATTGAATTTTAAGCAGTTCTGATACATTTAATGATATCTCAATTATATCACAAATAGAAAAAAAAAAAAACAAAAACAAATTGTAAATTCTATACAGACCCATTGCTATTATATTCCAACAGCATGCAAAGAAGAGAGAAAGTGCAAGAGTCATTATCAAGCAAATCCTTGTTCTTGTACTCATGTAAGATTGTGCCCATGTAATCAAAATCTGGTCTCATGTTGTCCAAAAATTGTTATTTCTATGCAAGCAAAGAACTTATGAAGTATATGGTAAGTTCTGGTGAAGGCTTCAAGATGTTTTGCTTGTGTAAAAATAATAATCTTTTGGCTATAATAAAGAAGCTTGTGCTATAAATATTTTTTACTCTCATTTTACGTTACTGCACAAATTAACTGTAAGTATCAATAACAACTTCATCTAAAGTTCTGACAATTAAATCAGTTGATTGTAAATTTAGCTATGAAATTACCATTACAAATAAGAGCTTATATCTATTGTGTATCAGTTTGCTAGTATTTGAGTAATTCTTACACTTAGTCTACTTATTCATAAAAGCTAGTTTATTTAGCTAAAATGCCCACTGACAACACTAACACAGTAATCTTGGAAAAATTCAGAAATAAATCAAATTATAGTACTTAAAAATAAAAAAGTAACTTCTTTAAATTGTTGAGTAATTAACTTAAGTTTAAATATTGAACTGATTAAATAAGTCTTGGGTTTCCAATTGTCTTTTTCTGATCATTTTCAGTAAAATAACAAAAAAATAAAAATAAATAAAAAATTCCAATTGTCTTTTTCTGATCATTTTCAGTAAAATAACAAAAAAATAAAAATAAATAAAAATTCAAAAAATTATCTGGATAATCTTTTTTAATTCTTCCAAATTATCCTTTCTACCAATCTCTATTCACATATAGACACTTTCCTCTTTTCTATCTTCTATCAAATTAAAGTCTCTAAAGAGTATCATCATCATTCTTAGAAAATCATTTTTGTTTAGTCACATGCAAGACAGGGAAGATTGTGAGAAAGAATCGAGAGAAAAAAGATGAAAGAGCATAGATCAGTAGAGGAGGGATGGCTGCCAATGTCCCGAAGTGAATCCATTCCTCAACGTGATTGGTTAGAATGTATCAATACGAAGCTCCAATTAAAAACCCCTTCTCCTTGATGTTCAATGTGCTTGTGATTATCATCCCCATGCTTGATCAAATTTAACAATCAGTACCATCAGTGAAATCTTGTTAGTCAACATTTCTGTCCAAATAAAAAACAAGGCAGCAAAGCTGTCAAATGTACAGACAAAAAACAGGAAATAACTATGCACAAAATAGGCTACTGTCAATTCTGATGCAAAAATACATTATGTTAAACTGCAAATTCAACATCAAATTTTAATTATCCTCAACAGGTAATACCAATGTAATTAAAATATGTGACAAGTTTAGTCAATNACATAAAAAGAATCAAAACAAAACTTGTGATCATCAATCAATTAAGACCTTTGACAAAAACTGTACACTTGAGACCTGTCCCCCTGGGCAGCCAGACTGACCACTTACCATCAATGGACTTAAACAGCTCTGGACGGTCTTCAACTTTGACCAGACTTTCCACCTCGATGTCCACCCCTGACGATGACCGCTGGTAACCTTTCTTGAACCGACCAGATGACCCAAACCCTCTATTTGCCTCACCACTGTGTGTTTCTGTATCAGTAGGAGGACGCTGATACCATAACGTATTGGCCGTTTTGCGAACAAAGCCATCACAGCTGCTGTCACGTTGTTCGTAGTTTTGCGGCACGTGCTCTTCGAGATCGTGCACATCCTGGACCCGTCCTCGGTCCTGCTTGCTACTGGAGAACATCCCGCTGGAGAAATCTACAAAGGTGCTAAGATTGGGGTTACTAGAAAGGCTGACCCACGACCCAAAGATCGCTGGTTGCTTATCAGGGGATTGTGAGATCGGTGCAGCAGGGTTATCTGGGTCAAGAAGCTCTAGCACGCTATAGGCAGTGTCCGTTTTAGGCAAATAATCACAAATACCACAATTATCATGAATGGCATCGCCACCATTTTTGACATTGTCGCTAGGGGCTGATATTGAATAGTCACCTAATTGACCTTCACCTTGGCCTACATTATTGGACCTTGATCGGATCTGAGTCCCTTTCTCCCTCAATTCATTATCATGCACATAGTAAAGTATGTTGCTTAATTTCCTTTGGGGCGATGGCGAGAAATCAAGCTGATTGGTTGGCATCCCTCCTCCACTATCAGCGCTAGAACCCAACGAAAAGAGGACATTCTCTGGATCGCTCTCTGCACATTCATTCATCTTACCTTCCAGTGGATACGTCAGGCCGTCTTCTTTCTGGAGAGAGTCTGTGAAGTCATCGTCGACATCATCACCATTGTCTTTCTCACTATGGAAGCTCAGTTCGTGGTCGTCCTTCACCAGTTGCTCCAGAGGAATGTCCTCTGCTTCAGAGACTTCTGGGATTGGATCATCAGGGGGCGCCACGGGATTATGGTCAGTTACGTGAGGGCCCACATGGTGATGGTGATGGTGATGGTGAGGGATGTCTTTTTGCTTGACCAGAGGAACTTCGTTAATATCTGACAAATGGACCTCCTGCTCCAAGCTATTGCTGCTTTGGAGAGGGTCGAAATCTGCTGAGTCATTGGCTTTGGCAACGTCGGACATTTTTGTCTTTGAATCTTGGGATATCACAGAGCTATCTGACTGAGTTGTAGCTGCTTCTGATGCACCTACATTGGAACCAGTTACTGAACCTGTGCTTTTGTCTTCCGTACTCATTACTGTGGTAATTTGCACTAAATTTTTGCCATCCCCATCTTCATTTTTGTCATTGTGACTATGACCATCGTGAACCTTGGGAGATATCCCCGCATGGTCTATGGAACTTCTACGAACTTTCTCTAGAGCTTCAGAAACAATCCTTTCGGCCCCACAGGAGCATGCGCTAACTGTTCTTGCTCGCTTAAATCTGTCTCTTTTCTCCTTGATTTTTGCATCAGCTATGTCTTCTTCTGTGATGGGTTCTGATTGGCTGGTTGGTGGCGTGACCTCTGCGGCTTCGGATTCTGATTGGTCAGCTCTGTGTATTGCACAGTCGGGAGCATGGTACACCTTGGCAGAGGGTTTCATACCTACTGCCTCCCTACAAAGTGGATCATTGTTATACTGTCACTTCCATTCTTTGTAATTATACAATTTTTCTTTTGAAGCTTTACTGTGCAGGAGAGCCAAATCATGATTTAATAAAGATATCACACCATGAAAAACAGTGCAATGACAAATTATTTTTGGGCAAAAAGCACCTTCACCCTTTTAATATCATGATAGAAATGTTACGGTATGTACTTTTCTTTATGGTAGAAAATACCATGGTATAAACATTTTCTATATATGGTATATACTTTATCCTTACCCTCACAAATTCATGAAAGAATTGTTAAAGTACATACATTTTCCTTACTTCTTGAAAGAAACATCATGGCATTATACACATTTTCCATACCCCTTACAACTTCATAATACAGATGTCATAATAAGAATTTCCTTACCCTTTCAACTTCATAATAGAAATGTCATGGTACATGGCGGCACTGATGATCATGTCCATGGGAGCGATCATGCCGTACATTTCTGGACTGTTCTCCTGGACCAAGGGGTCACTGACATCTGGGTCAAACATCACAGCGTTGGGGGTGACCAGCAGGACGCCCTTGACCACTCCCTGAAGTATAGCTTATGTCATTAATATCCTTGAGATTTAATGTGGATTAAAAGGTGGGGGAACTGGTACCTGTTTCATAGGAAAGTCTTAAGTTAGTCTTAGCCTACTAAAGGCTCCTTCCCCATTAAACTTCATTGAAAAGTCTTACGTTAGTCATTGAGCTCAACTCTTAGCCTACTAAGGGGTCCTTCATAAGCTATCATTCTACGTAGATCGGCGCAGCTCTGTGGGGACTCTTGCTGAATGAAATCAGATTTGTATGTCAAAAACCCTCCCCCTGGATTGAGTAGAATACAGAGAAGCTGGTGATTATGACTGTACGTCAGAAACACCTAAGATAACCCTGCCATTCATGACATCTTTTCTGTAAATTGATAGCGTCTTAATTCAAGGCGTTTTTACACTGAAGATGGATTGAACCTTTAGGCAAAAATTGATGAAGCCAATTTCAACACTGGTGACAAGTGTGCTCCCCGTTTTGCAAAGTTAGTCATGTGACGTGACTTGCCAAATAGTAAGGAGTGTAAGGATGCTAGTACGTGAGAATCAGAGGGATGACATTTCAACATGGCTTCATTTAATTCTCCTCATCAACTAGACTACAGTGCACGCCATAACCAGTTTCAAATATTGGAATTAGCTTGAAGTGAAATATTGATTTTATGATTCAAATGTGTGAAATGCAGGCAAAAAGTCAGAGTGATAAGATTATTTGCTTTCAACAGCCCAGATGATAAAATGCCAAGGATAATTTGCTTCTTGGTTCTTTACAGCCTGAGCCACAGTATAGCATATTTCTGTAACATTCAAGTCAAATGCTGGTTTCGTGATTATGTAAAACTATGCAAAATGCAGGCAAAAAGTGATGACTATTAAATTTCTCAAATGATAAATGATGATAAGTTAGTGGCTAACATGTGACTTACAGCATAATCCTAAGAAAGTTTAGCATATTATCTTGTGGTAAAATACTGATTTTACAATGTAGCTCCTAGTTATGTAGGCAGACAGTGAGAGGTCTGGGGTTACAATTTTCATAAACATACTTTAGTTAATGTCTTGAAAGGTGAATGTGCTACATGGGCTTGCAGCTTAAGCCACAGGTGTATCAGTCTTACATCTATAATACATTTAAGTGAAATGCTCTTTTAATATCAATTATAATTTAGCTGTGCGAAAGGCAGGCATTAAGTCATACATACCAAAATATATCAAAAACAAAAAAACAAAAAAAAAAAACTAACAAAATAAAAAAATAAATAAATAAATAAAGAATTCAAATGTACAAAAAACAGTTTAACATAAAGACTGAAAAACAACACAGAACTGTGTCNATGGTAGAAAATACCATGGTATATACATTTTCTATATATGGTATATACTTTATCCTTACCCTCACAAATTCATGAAAGAATTGTTAAAATACATACATTTTCCTTACTTCATGATAGAAATGTCATGGCATTTTACTAGCATACACATTTTGCCATACCACTTACAACTTCACAATACAGATGTCATGATAAGCATTTCCTTACCCTTTCAACTTCATAATAGAAATGTCATGGTACATGGCGGCACTGATGATCATGTCCATGGGAGCGATCATGCCGTACATTTCTGGACTGTTCTCCTGGACCAAGGGGTCACTGACATCTGGGTCAAACATCACAGCGTTGGGGGTGACCAGCAGGACGCCCTTGACCACTCCCTGAAGTATAGCTTATGTCATTAATATCCTTGAGATTTAATGTGGATTAAAAGGTGGGGGAACTGGTACCTGTTTCATAGGAAAGTCTTAAGTTAGTCTTAGCCTACTAAAGGCTCCTTCCCCATTAAACTTCATTGAAAAGTCTTACGTTAGTCATTGAGCTCAACTCTTAGCCTAGTAAGGGGTCCTTCCTAATTAAGCTATCATTCTACGTAGATCGGCGCAGCCCTGTGGGGACTCTTGCTGAATGAAATCAGATTTGTATGTCAAAAACCCTCCCCCTGGATTGAGTAGAATACAGAGAAGCTGGTGATTATGACTGTACGTCAGAAACACCTAAGATAACCCTGCCATTCATGACATCTTTCTGTAAATTGATAGCGTCTTAATTCAAGGCGTTTTTACACTGAAGATGGATTGAACCTTTAGGCAAAAATTGATGAAGCCAATTTCAACACTGGTGACAAGTGTGCTCCCCGTTTTGCAAAGTTAGTCATGTGACGTGACTTGCCAAATAGTAAGGAGTGTAAGGATGCTAGTACGTGAGAATTAGAGGGATGACATTTCAACATGGCTTCATTTAATTCTCCTCATCAACTAGACTACAGTGCATGCCATAACCAGTTTCAAATATTGGAATTAGCTTGAAGTGAAATATTGATTTTATGATTCAAATGTGTGAAATGCAGGCAGTAAGTTAGAGTGATAAGATTATCTACTCTCAATTACCCAGATGATAAAACGCCAAGGATAATTTGCTCCTTGGTTCTTTACAGCCTGAGCCACAGTATAGCATATTTCTGTTACATTCAAGTCAAATGCTGGTTTCATGGTTATGTAAAACTATGCAAAATGCAGGCAAAAAGTGATGGGTATTAAATTTCTCAAATGATAAATGATGACAAGTTAGTGGCTAACATGTGACTTACAGCATAATCCTAAGAAAGTTTAGCATATTATCTTGAGGTAAAATACTGATTTTACAATGTAGCTCTGAGTTATGTAGGCAGTCAGTGAGAGGTCTGGGGTTACAATTTTCATAAACATACTTTTGTAAATGTCTTGAAAGGTGAATGTGCTACATGGGCTTGCAGCCTAACCCACAGGTGTATCAGTCTTACATCTATAATACATTTAAGTGAAATGCTCTTTTAATATCAATTATAATTTAGCTGTGTGAAAGGCAGGCATTAAGTCATACATACCAAAATCAAATTCATATCAAAAACAAAAAAACAAAAAAAAACTAACAAAATAAATAAATAAATAAATAAAGAATTCAAATGTACAAAAAACAGTTTAACATAAAGACTGAAAAACAACACAGAACTGTGTCTGTACACAAAAAAACCCCAAACACTGCAATTACCAGACCAATTTAACTAAACAAAGTACAAAATTCTAAATTAGTACAGTAAACCAAAAGCGAGGATCCCCCTCTAAATCCCTTCAGCTGAACAGATTAAAATCTAGGTTGAGACTTTGTTAAAGAATCACCAAAACAATCCATGTCATCTTTGACAGATGTTGTTTTACCTTAGCTTTACCATCCAATGTGTCACTAGTAGAGCTTGAAAATGCCTATGGATTAAAAATTCATTGGTGAAGAAATAAATATTTTTTTCACACACCCAATTTGAAAAAAGAAAAAAAAAACAATAAAAAACACTAAATGGGACACAAACCAATGGTGAAAGAATGTAACAGTGCATGATTTTAAAAGTTCAAAACTCAACAAATAGGGTGCATTGTCTACTTTTGTTTCTAGGTGGCCAGGCTTTTGAGGCAAATATGTCATTTAGTTGGAATAAGTTGCTCTTCACAGAATACTTCATTTTTATAGTCATGCTGTTTTTATAAGTGTATTGTGTGTTTGGGTGCATTTTTTTGAAAAAGTTCTTTTGGATTAATTAATTTTTATATTCACTTTTTCATCTATAAAAATCAAAAGTTTTGTCTTTTACCTTTCTTCATTATTGTTATACATACACATACCTGTCCATCTGTTATATATCGAACATTGAGCTTGATAAATCTTTCATAACATTCCTCATCCAGTTTCTTGGCCTCATCCTCAGAGAGTGGCTTAGGAGGTTCAATCTCGTGGACCTGGAAATATCATTCCAATTACAGTTATTACTCACCGATTTCAAACACCACAATTTTTCAAATATTTTAATATATTTAAAACAAGTCTCTCAGATTGTGACCAATCATTTTTTGTTCCACATTTAAATACACTTTCTGATATAAGTTTTTCTTTCTTGGTTCAACAAAACACTGCTTTAGGAGATAAAGTAATTAATAAATTGCATTAGAATTCAGGTGTGAAATGTTGTAAATAGAGTAAATGTCACTACACCAAATTCTGTTGGTGATGAATCTTTTCTTGTTGCTACAGCAAATGTTATTGAACTTGTTACATCAAAAACTACCACTGTGCCTTTTAATTCATATTGATAACATGACAGTGTGTATGTGTGTGTCTTAAGCTGTCCATGAGTACAAAGATGTGTTATGCATGTCTGAACGTAGGTCTTTAGTATTCGTATATGAGTGAAAAAGTATGTTTTAGTATATGTGTAAACATGTATCCCTATTTATAGGTAATGAAAGTGGACATTTCAAAACAATCCTGAAAACACAAGCTAGGCAACTGTAGCTGTGCATGGGGAGGTAATGGGGCATCAATACAACACCCAAGTATCCAGATGCCTGAAAAAGTAGAAGATTTTAATCTCTAGTCTCACCTCTTGCGGCGGTGATGATGGAAATACTCTCTCAGCATGTCCAGGACTTCGTAATGGCGTGTGAAGATCTGGCTCCACACGACCTACTGCAATCTTCAACTGTAACAACAAAGTACTTGTTCTAGCATACCTGAACCATGTTTTTTATTATTTTTTTTTTCAGACTGTGATATTAAGCCAAAAAATATTAACTGTAAGTAATTTGAAACCATGTTGGACTATGTGTTTGTACACACACACACACACACACACACACACACACAAACAGACATGCACATATTGACCACGTGCTAGTTCCCCCACAAAGGGACATGCACACATGCACATCAACTTACAGGGTTGGATGTAGCAGAAGATGTCGGACTCTCCACTGGCGAGGTAGGTTCACTGGGGACGTAGTCCTTGTCTGGGACAAATATATTCTGAAACAAAGAACAATCCTTTTAAAACACAAATTCAATAAGCACTGAAATTATCAGCAGGTTTTAGGGTTATTTCACTTATAAAATAGTTCAAAAATGTTTCTTCAATGAAAAAAGGCAAAGATAATAAGCAACACAACTCTTTTTTTTTTTTGTTAATTTAATAATTGTTGTGGCGTGCACATTTTTAAATCATTATCACTCAGAACAGAGAGTGGCAAATTAAGCTCACCTGCCCTGGAAATACAACTCTAGTCACCAGTCTGTTGATTTTCACCAGTACAGAAGGAGTGGTGTCAAACTTAGCAGCAATGCTTGTCAAAGAGTCTCGATCTCTCACCTAAAAGAAAATGAGAAATTTAGTTTAAAACATTGGTGTACTAGACATGCTGAAAACTTTTCAGAATGGCCGGACATTTGGACCAGCAGTAACGAAAAATTTGCCGGACAAAATGGATTTTTGCCGGACTGGATTTTTGCCGATCCGAAAATCACCCTATTTTTTTTAGACGAATACTAGGATTAGGTGGTTTACTTTATTTGTGAATGTGGTCGGTTTGAAATGGAAAAAACGCTGTGGGCTTTATATAATTTTTTAGTGAATTATGTGGAATGATGACTGTAAATTCAGAATGGTAGCTCTTAAAACTCTTGTCCGTCCTTTGGACCGAGTAAGTCCAATTTTTTACCGGTCCAGACAAATTTTGCCGGTCATGACTGATTGGACAGACAGTTTCAGCATGTCTGTAGAGAAGTATTAGATATACTTAACCTAGGTCAATTGTTCTCAACAATCTGCATGGTATGTATTTCTATTAATAGTCATAGCCCTCCTTATCTAATAAAGTGGTTGCTGTGTTCTGTAACATTGCAGCATTTTACAAGTTTATAGGGGGGAGGGGGGAGGGATAACAGAACCTTACAATTGTCAGGCAGCCATATTGGATTTTGTAGCCATATTAAAATTTTGCAGCCATGCCCTATGTACCAAAGTACTCTGGATTTTTTTTCTGCAACATATTTGCCACAGTATTATTGCCACTGACTGATAATCATAACAGACTTTATCATAAATGGCTCAAATTTTACTATTACATGGCAAAGAAGTGTCAGCTGCACTAGTACTTTGTTATCAATGCTGAATAATGTGAAGAGTTAAAACGCTGATTTGAGGAGAATGGGACCACATGTAATCAGTTACATTTAATAATCATAGATAATTACAACATAAAATGCAATTATCACTATCTGTTCACAAATAAATTGTTGCAAAGTGAGAACTACTGTCTCATGTGTGCTAGTAATCTGAAATACATAATTAAAATGTAATATCCGCTACAAAATCCAACTGAAAAATTAATTGTAATGGAAGATGTTTAAATGTGTAATCACATTCTGAGGGTGCAGTTTGATGGAGTGCAATCAAAATTCCTTTCATAACAACAGATCAACTTGAGTCAAGTTGACTCAAGGTACACAGTCAAAAGTCAAGTCAAAATTTTAGTCTACAGGAATTTCAATCTGGGTAAATGTGCACAAGTTTATCAAAATGGAATGCTACACATCAGTCTACTATAGCAACACTTTTTTCTTTCCTAAAAAAAAAGCCTGATTGTATAATATTTTATTTCATAGGAAAACATCTGATTTGCCTTAGGTCAGAGTTAACTAGACTTTAGTTTTTCCAATTCAATTTATGGTCTAAAGTATTTTTTCTAGAACTCTCCCTAGTTAGACTCAGGCACAGACTACAACTGTATCCAACACAATTTTAAGTACTAGCATATTTTACCAATGAAAGTAAGTTAACAGATAGGTTTCAAAGACACCAGCTGATACGGACCAACTTCTACAGTGGAAGTCATAAAATTGCAACATGCTGCCGTCGTGAATAAACTTCTTTTTAGTCCTATAATTAGCACAGCTGGAGGATATATGCATCATTAGATAGTTTTTATTGCTGGATAGTACAGCGAGAGCGAGAGAGAGAGAAAGACGAGAGAGAGAGAGAGGGCGAGAGTGACAGAGTGAGAGAAGAAGTGGAAAGAGAGAGAGAGAAAGGGAGAGAAGAGAGACAGGGGAAAAAGCAAGAGAGAGAATACAGAGGAGGATGGAGGGAGGTGGACAGAGTCGTGAGGGAGAGGAGGGAGAAAGGGATAGAAAGAGAAGGAGAGTAAAGGGGGAGATTGGAAACAAGTAACCAAGACTTATCCAAAAATAATGACACATGAAAATAAAGCAGGAAAACAAAGGAATTAAAAGCCAGAAGACCTTCACCCCTCTTTTCCCTTCTTCCATACCCTGCACGTTCATCTGCTATCAAGAAAACGGCCTAGTAGCACTTTCTATCGACCTGAAAGTTGAACACAACTCCCCAAGAGACCCGACCCTCAACCAGAAGTCCACCTCACACAGTCGTACACATACACATGCTCCAGATAACAACAACCTGATTACAAACGAAATCAATCTGGGTGAAAGACAAATCTTTTCCTACTAAATCAGCTCCTTACGTATTCTTTTATTGACTTCAGTTAAGTCTATTAATTAATTTTCTCTTGGAGAAGCCTTACAGTTATCGAGTGACCCCCAGCTTTGAAAGTTCATCCCATAGGGCCGAGTATGATCAATACTGCTGCATTACTTGGAATCCATACAAGTGACTCTGACTTGAAGGAGATACGCTTCGTTTTCAGCCATGTTCAATGTGTATAGATAAAAGCCTTATCTTTTCTTGCCTCTGTCACAATTTTTTTTTTTCCGTCAGGTTCAAATATGTGAATCATCCTCATCCCAGAATTATACTCATCCCTAAGAGGTTACAAAAAATTACTATGAATTATATTTGTGGTCCCCAAGGTTATCTTTCCAGAGTATCAAATCTGTGAACTGCCTTCCACTGCTTTCACTATTCATCCTTGACTTATTAAAATAGCAAAAACCAGCATATTTTACAACCCTTGGAGCATCACACACATGAAAAAAAAAATAAATAAAAAAATAAAATAAAATAAAATAAGATAAAATAAAGTCTGATGAGTTTTTGACCAGACACAAACCTGGGTTTCATAAACCTCTGAACATTTACCATGGGATAAAACACTTCACCTTGATAAAGTCCAGGAATTGGAATCATGAAATATGAAAGATTTATGAATTCTGTCATTCTTTGAAAAAAAAAAAAAAAAAAACATGTCTGTTTTAATCAGTTCTTACGCCCAAACTGACTTTCCTTTGTACACCTCCCATTAATATTGTCATTCATCTAATGATTCTTATCTGTCCATTAACTTACACGCACTTATGTACGACAACAAAGAAACGGAAGCTGATTATGCAACACACAAATCTCTTGTGTCTGAGAGAAAAAATGGCATTTAATGATTTATCAAAGACCCCCATTCCCAGAGATTATATCAATCCAACTAGATCGACCTAACTCCCTGGGGGTTCACGCTAAATAGTAGTCAGCCGAGCCAGCACGAAAGTTAATTACCCCCTTACAGCTTGTAGTAGGCGGGATGGACATTTAAGCCGGATTATCTGACAGTAATCTAGTGAGACTCCCCATGGGGATAGATCGATCTAAAATCTATGGGAATGCGCCCAAAGACTCAATAATGGATGATCAGACAAGAGAGCACCTCTTATGATATTCCTAATGGACTGGCAACAATATACTCAAGTCTTTACTTTACTGGAGAGGGAAATGTACATTTTACTAAGTACAATTCTGGTCCATTATATTCTGGTAGTCAAAGTAAATACTGGGTTGAATAAAAGATCAGGAAAAATCTGCTAATTTATAACATAAAGTTGGAGCTTTTGGCTGACAATCTTTGAATCTAGCCAGAGAACTTCTTTGGAACAAACAAGGTTTACATAAAAGATCCACCAGTATTTACTCGCTAAATTCAAGTAAGTATTGAAAGACAAAAACCAGTGAAACCAAAAGGAGAAATGTCCACATGCTTTAACAATTAAGGTGTATGTACAGTAACATGTTTGTTATTTAAAGGGATAATAACTCTTCGTTTTGGCCAAAAAATGAATTTTCCTGGAGTAAACAACAATTTTCCTGTACTTACCAATGGTTAATGAATCCATTTTTACATTCAAAGTTAGTCCCTGGTTTTTTTCTAAAAAGTTTTTTTTTTTTGTTAAAACTCTTAAGAGATTATAACTGAGTACAGCCATCAATGGAGGTCACGTGATCTGAAGACAAGCTCAGATATCAGAATAATAGCCATAAATGCCCTTTTTGTGGTAAGACAGAATATATTATATTTCTATGAGTTGTTCACAATGTTTTTATTGTGAAATATAGATATCATACGAAGAGTTATTATCTCTTTTAGAAAATGTTACTCATACAGTAGTTAAAGTGGAGACTGATATGTCTAAAATATTTGCAAAAATTAATAACCAACAACTTCCAATCGGCATGGAAAAGTGGTGGGTAAAACAACAAAAAAAATAAATCCCTATTCACGTATATAACTTTAATTTGCAGTCCCAGAGAAGAGCATTTTCTGAGCATTAATGGCCTTTTATCCCCATTAAGAATTCATCAAAGACTCACTAAGTTAAGATAATGGAAATGCACAGCTTTGATGAAGTGTCAAAGTACTTCATGCTTTTTTTTTTCTTTTTGCGATTTGTTTTACCTACTTTCATTCCTGTGATTTTCTCAATTTCTGTGCTTATTAATAAATAATAAACAAAAGATTGTTTCAAGTTCTTTTTTTTTTCCAGATATGCTTGAGTAACTGAGACTTAAACACGAATTATTGAACAAGATCAAAGAAAAGAAGCTTGTGTTTCTGGGCCACCAGCTGTGACTGGAAAAATCAGTTATTTACATCAACATTTCAAAGCGCCCAATAAAGAGAAAACATGGCAGGTCAAGGTTTGGATGGAAGACCATCATACAAAATTGGACAAGAAGAAGTTTAAAAGAGGTCACAAGGATGGCAGTTGATAGAAAGAAGTGGAGGGGCTTGGTCCATGGAGTGTGCCGACAATCTTCGATATGCGGAGAATTGCACTAAAGATGATGATGATGATGACAAATGCAATTACTGAAGCTCATGACCTGTGGCAATTTTATATGAGAGAGTAAATGACATGATATAAGCAAAAGTTTTTTCATAGAAAACTGAGAAAAAATTTCTAAAGGACTTCTTAGACTGAATTTTCCTTTAAGGCAAATCACAGATTTTGACCAAAGCAACAATATAAGGGGGTGGCATGGATGATAAACCAATATTCCTGAAATTTCCTACAGTCTTAGTTTATTTTCCAAAGCATTTGATAAGAATATCTGAAGTCATGACCCAAGTAAATCAACTTAATCACCGTCCTGTCTCTTAAGCTATTGTCAGTGCCAACTTGGACACAAGTGGGAAGAAAACTAAATCTTATACTGCTGAATCCTGGCAAATCAAATTATCTCCAATTGACACTATAAATTCTCTTCATTGCATTGATTGTGTCGGCTACAGATGAATTAATGATCTTTTATAGCCATGGACCATAAGCAAATGCCTGAAATAATCTAAAATATGGCAGAGAGAGAATGTGAGTTAGTTTGAAGATGTCATTGTGTGTGTGTGTGTGAGAGAGAGAGAGAGAGAGAGAGAGTGAGAGTGAGTGAATGAGTTTGAGGATATGCTTGCATGGATGTGCACAAGTGTGTATGTAAAAAGAAAGGATTTAGATGACACAGACAGAATACATTCCATTTGCTCTCGAAAGCTTCCACCACTCCCTTCAACCTCCCACCCCCACCCCCAACTTCAGTTTTCATCACTGTTTTCTAAACTCTTTACACTCCCTCCACCCCCCCTCCACCCCCCCCCCCACCCCCAGGGTCTCCTAACTGTTATCTGTACCGATTAATACACTGAACACATCCACTCCATTGTTACTCATTAACAAACCATGAACTACTAACCCCCAAGTGTACAGATAACACAGTAGAAGGAGAATGTTGTGACCAGGACCTCACTGCCCTATAGCCATTATACAGGAATGTGGACAGTAAGGTACCTTCATGGCAGAGTCACAAGAGAAGTCAAGGGGAAAATTGGTATTCACTTAAAGAAAGGTGTGTGCTTCAGTGCGAGAGAGAGAGAGAGAGAGAGAGAGGCAGAGAAACAGAGAGAGATTTCAAGGACAAGTTTCCAAATGGTCTTAAAGTTTGGGAACGTCATTTCAGAAAATGTTATCAAATATCTACGAGAGTGCAGAGAGACCAGGGTGTTCCAAAATATTACACAGACCTCTAACCAACTACTTCCAATTGTCTCCTTGTTCAGGCAACTTTGTTCTATCAGAAAAGATTTGCGCCAAGTAGTAGAATTAGTAGTGTGTGTGTGTGTGTGTGTGTGTGTGTGTGTGTGTGTGTGTATGTGCATACCTGCATGCATGCTTGCACATGCATTCACGTGTCCTTAAATAACGGAGATCAAAACAACATCACCTACCTCATAAACAATGGTACCCTTGGGTTGTACCACCTGGCGTCCTTTCTTCTTTCCATTCCCAGCATCCCCAGGGTCCGTCACCACTTTGAAATGAGACAAAAAGGCAAATAAACAACCACACATGTAACGGCACATTGTCCACGTAGGAGAAAATGTTCAACACACACAATGCTCCTGAGTATGATGATATGATGTTACTCCTGGTTCCACTATTACCAATTGGGGCATATTACGTTAGTCTGGTATTATAACTTGAGCTTCTGTTATAACCATTCCAATATATATATAACAAATCCATACAGTATCTTGAACAAAATATTGGTCACTTGACTAATGTCCTGTTGGCCACAAATATCACTGGGCAAGTAATTGGCACCTTTCAAACGACCCCTTATTCTACATACAAAGTTTGTCGTCTAATGAAAAGACACCTGATTTGTATTAATTCCATGTAGCCTCCTTCTTCATGTTAATATCCCATGCATAATATTTGGCAAGAATCTACTATGTTTTCATGCCCGGGGCATTCTGGAAAATATTTACTGCTACGTGCAGATGAAGTTTTATTACACATCACTGCAGCAAAAAAAAAAAATCCTCAATTTTGGAAAAAAATGCAGAAAGTTTTCAATCTCACTCAATGACTGATTGAAAAACATGAAATCTTTTTTTTTTAAGATATGGAATAGATTCAGCAGGACCACATGTTAACTGGCCGTGTATGACGGTCAGTAACTTCTGTCTTGATACGCTGAGATCTTTTCATTGTACTGGTTACTATCTCTTGCAGGTTTTCAATAGGATTGTGCAGCAGGAAACGTGTGTATAATCAAGAATTGCACTCCTCAGTTCCACTATTACAGATTATCTAAAAGTTCTGCATTAATCTGTAAAAACTGCAAAAACTACATTATCCAGGAGTTCTGTAATATTCTGTAATAACCAGATAATCTGCAAGTTCTGTACCACTCTGTGTAAAAACTGGATAATCCCCAAGTCCTATTCTACTCTGCAAAAAACCTGGATAATGGGCAAGTTATGTGTAGTACTAAATAGTGAAAACTTGTATCCTCATATATTGCTAACCAGGATCTTGATAATTAGCCCCGGGCCAGCTTCCAGCTATCAACTGCTGACTGTTACAGAAGGTTGTCTTTAGCTGTCTCTAGTGAATAATTCATATGACATGTCCTTTCTAACTTTTCACTAATTCAGTTATTTACAATAACACTTGCTTCAAGCAAATGCCAAAAGGACATTTTCTTTTATGAAACTGAGGGAATTTTTTGAACAAGCACTTTCTATATGAGAAGCAGTCTTAAACTTTGTCAGAAAGAATTCCTTTTTTTCCCCTCAGTACTAAGACTTGGACTCTGTTCATAAGTACGCACTACAGTGAGTCCCAGCAGTCACACTTGTCCACCTTCAGTCCAGTAATAAAACCACTCTTCTACCATTACAAAATCATGATCCAAGAAAATTCTGAGCATCTGCAAGGAGACGATCTAAGATGGCCTCTGTTCTTCATTCTGCATTACACTAAAATGAGCCGCCTGGGAGACCGATTTCTTCTGGTGCTGATTCACAAATATTTATATTCATATAATAATCGTAACAAAAACACTTCATAAAGTCAAGGGCAACTTCCCAGTTGTAAAAGTTCAATCAGAGTTTGAACTTTCTCATTTCTCACTCCAGTCTCTTACGCAGCACCCAAGGATGACACTTCATTCATCACTTAAACTGAAACTTAGATCCAACAATCAGGATTTCCAAGGACAATACCACTAACATGGACAATTTCTCTTCACATCTAGTTTCCATAAATTGTTTCCCTGGAGACTTCTCATTTGACAAGTTGCTTCTCCTTAAAATAACCCTCCTCTTTTGTGTCTAGATGAAGAGCGCATTTTTAGCCAGTGGAACATGTGACATGGTGACATTACACCAAGCCAAGGGCAGTTTGCCGAGCAGTAAAAACAACCTTGTACTTTGTACTACCTGATCCGTGCTGCTTTCTTACCTCATAAATACTACAGTGACTCCATCGCTACAAAAAGATAGCCACTGGCCATAGTAATAATTATAAAATTAATTCCTGAATTGCTCTGGTATGTACAACATGAAACAAATGGTTGGGGAAAAAAAAAAAAATATATATATATATATATATATATATATATATATATATATATATATATATATATATATATATATATATATTTTTTTTTTTTTTTTTTTTTTTTTTTTTTTTTTTTTTTTTTTTTAATCAGATATGATTGCTTTTCAACTATTGTTTGTAAAAGTTGTTTATTTTGTGCAAACAAACAGTGGCCAGAGATAGAGGAAAACAAGACTTCAGTGTCAACATAAATTGTAACCTTTTCCCTTTACATCTTTGTACCAAACATATAAAATATAAATTTAACTATTTCCTGCCCATAAAAAGTCCATTAATTTAATCTGATGCAGTATATAATATCATTCCATCACACCAACAGACAGCATTTAATTGTTTTGTCACCTCATGTTTTTAATTTTTCATTTGTTTTCAATGCATTGCCAGTGATCCATGACACAACAGGAGGTCAAAGGTCAGGCCAGGGGTAAAAGGTCAAGCATCAAAGGTAAACCCAGCAGACAACATCTATTTGATATAACTTATCAAAAACTTCCAAACTGAAAGCTGGTACTGCTATATGTTTACCCTCTGTCCCCATCTCCTTTACCCCTCCCCCCCCCCAAAAAAAAAAAAAAAACACTTCCTAGAGTCCCCCTGCAGTCTCCACTTAATAACACAATGCACCATCATTTTTTCTTTGTCTCTCTCTGCACATAAACGTTCCGTACATCCCCCATCCCTACCCTTACCCCTAGCTCAGCATGTACTTATTTTCTATCACGTCCCATGGTTCCAGTTTGCCTTTTCTCTGTTACTCCCTCTAATACCTAATACCATCCCCCCAATCTCCACCCCTCACCTCACCTCCAGTGAATACTTACTTTCTGTCATACTCCTTGGTTTATTCTCGATCTCGTCCAGCCAAATGTTTACCCTCTGTCTCCTCACCATTTCCATTACCCCCTCCTCCAGCCTCAACGTAATCAACATTAACTTACTTTCTGTCATACTCCTTGGTTTATTCTCGATCTCGTCCAGCTTCCTCTTCACTTCCTCTGATAGACTGGTCCAGGGGGGCGGAGAAGAAGCCGTTCCTCCGATGGAGAAAATCCCGCCCCCACCGCCGCCAGGTTCTGACTGGCTTGCCATGTTGCCTGTGCTTGCTGTCTGCTTGAATCCATCCTCGGATTTACTCTTGCCACTGAAAACAGAGACACAAATGTGATGATTACAGTAAGGATTTTTTTGTTTGCTTTCATAAACAAACTGGACTTCCAATAATATTTTTTGCTAATTAAGAGCTTATTCCCATTGAAACTGTATCAGTCTACCTAGACCATGGGGTTCTCACTAAGTGCAATCAGTTTAACAGATTAACACTCCTCCTCTTATGATACAAGAGGAGGCCTATTTATCTGTTTAACTGATTACATTTAGCGAGAGTCCCCACAGAGTTAGATCACTCTACATAGACTGATAGTGTCAATGGGAATGAGCCCTAAATCACAATGTACACACACTAAAGTTAAAAGCAACTCTTGACCTTAATTTCTGGTTCTTGTTTTCTATCAGCCCTAATAATTGTCTGCAAGAACCTGTACTGTTTTTTCCTAGCAATATGAATTAATACTATGACAGGCACTAGCAAAATGTGAAGTCTAAGAATTATTAACACTGTTTCACATGAGATCAATTTTCACCTCAATTATTGATTCCTAACAGCCAAGTACTTCAGCATGCAATACTGGTACATTTATATAACAGAGCAAGTTGAATCTATCCTAGCTGTCCTGAAGTAAGCTTCACCTAACAACCCTTACCCTCCCCAATTATAGGGCATATTCCCAATGAAAATTCTGTTCCAGGTAGATCAATCCAACTTCGTGGGGACTCTAACTAAATGCAAACAGATTGACTGAATGACATGCCTACCCAGGCAGCTAAGGCGTGATTAACTTTCAGGTGTGGAGTAGGCTTCTGGAAGCTTTCGCACTTCGCTTTGCATGCGACTTAACACAAACGAAAGTAAATCGCCTTAGCTTCTAGAAGAGGTGTGTCATTGGTTTAATCTGAATACATTCAGCAAGAGTCCCCATGGAGTTAGACTTATCTACATAGAACCATAGTTTTATTTGGAATGCTCCTATACAATACAGGCCTGTAGCCAGCAATTTTAAAAGGGGGGTTCTTTTTCTGAAAAAGTGGACTCTTTCCCATTAAAACTTCATGTACCTAGATCAAATTTTACCCATAGTGGACCTTTTCCTAGCAAAAAGGGTGGTTCTTTCGAACCCCCCGAACCCCCCCCCCCCTGGGCTACGGGCCTGCAATACACGTGCACATCATTATACAGATTCCAACAATAAGGACAAACAGGTACAAAAACAATGTGTGATTACATTGTCATTTCAAATCAAGATCGGGGACAAGCTAAATAGCAATCAAACAGATACCAGAATGATAAAGCATGTGTTACACTGGTAGTTGATTCAGGTTTGAGTCAATAATACTATTAATTAGTAACTGACTCTGAGCTTCCTCTCCCTGTCACTTTACATGTCACAGTCCGGGATTATTTCATGTCACACACTGAGGATGAAATGACACATTTTCATTTCTTATAAATTTATCCATATTTTTTTTTATTAACTACTGGTAGAGTTACCCAAGAAATTAAAGCATACTAGTGCTAGTGACAAAACACTCATACAGAGATTAAAAGCAAGTATAATCCTGAAAATACAAGAAGCCATGACACAACTCATAATGGGTGGGTCTAGGGGACATGCGACTTCCCCTCCCCAGATATTTTTGATAATTTTTAAAACAAATACCTGGATTTGAGGTTACCAAAAGATTTTCAACTTTAACTGTTCTACCTACCAGCGTCTCGTTTCCAGATGAGGACTGTCCATGACTTTCACCTCATTAAATCTGACCGTCAAGATGGATGATAAATGGTTATATTGTCCTACATTCCACAATAATCTGATATCACATAGCATGGAGACATTATCTGATTGTATTTACTAGTACAGTTATTGTGAACTTCTGTCTGGAAGTATAGCTTTTTCGCAGCCTCTTTCCATATACATGTTTTCCAAATACTGCACTAAAAGATGCATGGGATGCATTAATGATGAAATGTATACATTTGAATTGATTGCTTTAGATTGAAAACCATTACTCTGTGCTTACTGTCGAATGTACACATCACCTTTTATATACTAGTAGGTACCTCTGTCACCATTGTAGGCCTTGATGAGAATTTATTTTTTCAAAAAATTTATACTTACAGAACACTAATTACTATAAATGTTTTAAAAGGAAAAAAAAAACAACTACCTACCCTACTACAAAATTTCTGTTATTATACTTATGGTGAAATACAAAAGACAGATAGCTCTTATTTCAGTAAAAAAGACAAAATCTGACAGTTGACTTCAGTACTACTGTTAAATGTTTGTCTGCCTAAAACTTAAATCTGAATCTGAAGAAGTTAACACTGCAGCTCGGCATAGACCCAAGTGGAAAAAGTGTTTGCAGATATTAGTCACTGAGTACTAGTACTGCTGCTCCAAAAGACTAAACAGACTGTAGACAAACTCTATATAGTGTGCTCTATATGGTTCTAATCTAGTCAAGTGCAGTTTTGCGTAGGTCTTTATTTTAAGGCAATAAAAAACCAAAGCTGGAATGTCATGTTCAATTTCAGGTAAAAAAATGGACATGGCCATTGTCTTTATAATCATGCTAAGCTTTTGATTTTATGTACATCAATTATATAATAATTTTATTTAACCATAGTGACATTTTTGGGCTTAATATACACATTGTGTCTCCAATACTTCTCTTTACTCCAAATGCTAATTGTCCCCAATTTCCTCAATTGAACTAATGTAACAAAGTTTCAACCCAATCAATGAGAGAAGCTTGGTAGAAAATGAGCAATTGATTTCCTTGAGTCCCTTGATAATCTTGATCTCTTCTTCGATCTTCCACTGCCTCCACAACTTCCACCCTATATAGTAATACTAGTAAGCTAACCAAGCTGATAACACCCCCCCCCCTTCCGACTACCTCATCCCAATCAAAACTATGAGAAAAGCATACAGTTTTGGCTCTGTTTGATAACTGACTTTTTTTTTTTTTTGCTATAGAGAGTCCCGAGATGCTCTCTCTCTCTCTCTCTCCCCTCTAAAACTGTGTTCCAGTTTAAGGTTTAATTGTTATTTAGTTATGCATTAAAGACAAAATGTAATCCAACAAATTTTTCCTTAATACTATTTTATTACTAATTTTCCTCTTTCCAAACTCTGTCATCGTTTCATGTCAATTCAAAAGTGAAAGCACAATAACACCCAATCTGTTTTCTTTAAAAATATTGTCCCCATCCTTACTAGTAAATAATGATAATTTTCACTACAACCATTTCTGATTATTGAAAACAAACTACACCCAATAATCACTTGGACTAACTGACTCTAAATAACACTAACTAGTACTAGTCTGAGTTCAAATAAAACTAGTCCAAAGACCAAATCAATCAATAAAGTCATATAAACCTAATCTAATCACCCCCTTCCACTTTACAATAAGACTTGCCATGTTTGAAAAATCAATTTTTTTTTTTTTTTACTTCTCAGGTCCAAATGGCTTGTCAATCTCAGACCAGTCACTTGACTGATTTACTATGGAGTATTTTACTTCCAATCCACTTTATTTACATAAAGCTCACCCTAAAGCACTTCAGTCAAATTTCTCCTCACAGATATCAAGTAGTCTTAGTACTTGACAAATAACATGCACCTGGGAATTTACCATGAACCACCAGGTTTTCTCTCATGAACCACTAGCCTTTGTGTACAGTCATGGCGGCAGAAATATTGTGGAGGTACTACCTTACAAATTCTCAATTAGAAGAACAGTTTGCATAATAACATACTTGTAAGCAAAAGTAAGTCTTATGTTTTTCCTTTGGCAAATTATCTACTCTGCTGTACTTAGTTGTGGCTTTTTTTCCATATGTTGCCATGGCAATGTGGTATACTGATGGCACCATGTTAGCTGCACAAAATGTACACTTGATAATTACACCTAAGGCTTAAGGAAAGTGAGTCTAATGCATTTTCCTTGACAAGCCACTTCAGCCGGCTATTTATATACTCTGCCCTATTTGACCAATGTTGCCATGGCAATGTGGCATCCTGATGACATCACATGACCTATGTTGCCATGGCAATGTGGTAAGATCACATGAACACCTGGTAAAATGAACACCTGGTAACCACTACACTTCCAGACAGGATATGAGGACATAACTTCGTACAGATATACTAAGTATTGTAGTTCTTGAAAATGTATAATTCTACAAAATCCAATATTGTCTCTTTAAATAAAAGCAATCTTTAAACACTTCTGTTTGCAGTATTTATTTATAATAATAGCCAATGTGAAGCTGCAAATACATGTCATTATCGTTGTTAACAGCAGCTATGTACAGTACACTATTGGTCCCTGCAAATATGCCCTGAATTCTTGGGGTTACTTTATATGCCCCACTGAAATCAGCATATATATTACCCAAATTTCTAGCATACGTGACCCCTAAAACTCAGGGTGCAACACTGCAATACTGCTTTTTATTTAATGCACACGTGAATCATTTCACTGACATGCTTCATAGTCATGGAAGTTTTAAATGCTTTTGTCATGCATAAGATAAAAGTATGATAATATTAAACAGTCAGTTCTTTGCTGGGTTATTGTAAACTGAGTAATCAGTGTGTATCATATGAGAAAGTTTCATTTCACTGAATTTGGGGATTTAAATTACTGATGTATACATCTATTTAATTTTTTCCTATAGTGGGAGATGAGGTATGAGGCTGACATCTTGCTCACTTTTATATTACTAGTACTAGTATACATTTTATCCTAATGCTAAACATTGGTAAGGTATGCATAGTCAGGATAGTGTCAATACTAAGTCATGCATAAGATAAAAGCACATAAAAGTTAGTAAATTCTTCTTTGGATTATTGTACAAGGTAAAAAGAGCAATCCTTATATCGTACATACCAGTTTCATTTCGTTTATAAAATTCATAAATCAATTGGAGCTGGAGAGAGGGGCCTGAGATTATTTAGAATTGATCTATTTATTTATTTACTGTACTAGTATTGATTTTAAGAAAGGGTGTAACATCTCTGCTAAATAGCCCAAAATCAAGTACATTTTTTATCTCAATGCTCCATATAGTACCTTAACTTGGTACAGTGTACAGCAGTGTAAAGTTATCTAACATTTGCTGTTCAATCTACCATTAGTTCAAACTTTCATTTCATTTGCCGAAATCATTCTGATAGTAAGCTTTAATAAATTTTACCATGTCAATTTTTTGTTTACTTTTCACCATGTGTGGAGTGGCATCTTTATTTACCAACCTTCAATAATTGCTGACCTCACTCAAGTATCTGTCTCAATTTATCGAGCTGTTCAGTCGCCAAGGTGTTCCTACTCTAACAACTCAGGTGACTTCCGCTCTCGCCACCAACACCAACCAACTATTGAACTTCACAAATAAATTCTTTCTCTCCTTCGGAGTTCCATATTAGCAACTGTATTATTACAGTAAGTGTCTTACCCTTTCAAATGCCCACGTAAACTCCAATTTATCATACTTCTTTTTTTTAATTGAATAACTTGTACATACAATTTATTGCACTGTAAGGGGGGTTTAATCTGTTTATTATAATAAGTTAAGACCGTTAAGACTGTTTATTATAATAAGTTAAGGGGGGTTTAATCTGTTTATTATAATAAGTTAAGACCGACCCCCCCCCCCCCGGCCCGCCCCCCTTTGCAGAATATGCAGACTCTGTCAGTTTTCTCATTGCACAACAGGAAAATCAACATCAAAATGTGTTTTTTCCTCATGGTAACAGCTTATCTGTACAACTGTCATGGAATGCACTTAGTAATTCAATAACGTAAACAACATCTATGATTTAATATTCAGTGTATCAAATTAAGGTCCGCCTGGCTCGAAATGCTGGTGCAGACAAATGACAAAATATTCATCAATTGCATCTATTATGCGACCACATCTATCGTTCTACCATACCTCAAAGTAGACCTGAGTTTCTCCTTGGCTCTTTCTCTCAGTGACATACTCAGCACTGGAGAATTCTACAAGATGCAGCTTATATGGACCAAAACAACGTGACGCTGCACCGAGAAAAATCGATGCCAACGTTTACAGGAGTAAAATAAACCACCTCCTCAACATGCAAAGACGTTGCAGGCTCAAGTCCTGGTGTGCTTCATCTCTCTTCGCTGTTGCACTTATTTTTGATTTCTTCGTTCAGAAGCAAGAAAAAATCTCAAATATTCCCCTTAGTTTCGCAGATTGCTCGCCTCCTTTCCGCCATGATTTCCTTATTTCTCATCCCGTGACGTCAGGCTTGAGTGATATCGAGACTGTGCCATCATAGGTCAAGGTCACCTCGCTCTCCCACACTGAGCTCCTGTATGATGTACATTGTATCTACATGTAGGCCTATATTTCCATCTCTATTTCTCCACATCTCTCTCTCCCTCTCTCTCTCTCTGTATATACTTTGAAGTCATTTTGACCAACTGACATAAGAAATAACCGATTTATATTTTAAGATGTAAAAAACATCTTTTATCCCTTTTTTTACCAGAGTCATTTGTACAAAATTATCAGTCGGGAGGTAGGCCCACCTTTTTTTAAATATTACATCTGAAAAAATAAATAAATAAAACTCAAGCGAAATATTATGTTCTAAACTAAAAGTTAATATGAAATTTATATATACTCTTGAAAATAACACACATAACTCATATATTGTTTGCGCTATGGTAATAAAACATTGCTTTTCAACCGTGTGTACGTCTTGTTTTGTCTCAAGTAAAAAACAAACCCTGAATCTTGATGTTTCCCGCTAACTCTCCCTTAGTTATTTGCCTTTGTTGCCAAAGAGAGCAAAAATTGATGTTTGCATTAGCATTTTGCTACCTACGGTTCTCCGACATCACGCAACATTGCAGTTAGGCCTAGGCAAACAAGTAGCCTACATTATATACATAGGCTACTGATTTTTTATAACCCAACAAGAATAGTCTTCGGTCACTCTATTCTATCTTTAATACGGTTTATTGACAAGAATTCTGATTATTTTTCAAAGAACTAGCTAGCTTTACGTTTTGATTTCTTTTATTTCATCCCGTGACGTCCATTTTTCCATATTTCCATTTTTCTGGGGGGGGGGGGCAGGGGGGGGGTAGGGGGAGAGGGGGGAGGGGACAGGGAGAGGGTCACAAAAGAAAAGAAACTGATAAGCGTATCACACCATCTCGCCAGAAAACGAGTTAATAAGACATTTTCCACACAAAATCATTCCAGATAATTCGATTTATTTTTTTTTTTCATTTTAATTTGATATCCATATGTCAACAAGATCACACAATAGATAAATAGTTCTTCATATCCACACTGTTGACAAACCAACCCCTGATGCTTTGAATCCGCTACAGGGCCGTGTGTATACAATGAATAAATTAAATGAAATCAAAATAGTTGTGTACGTATACATGTACAGACATGACAATATTAGTACACCTAGGTAACCGTGAGTTAATCTATACCATTAATAACAAGATGTAGCGGTAATTAAATGTGCTTTATGCAGAAATGAAATAGTAATATAAGTGCCTATACTGGTACATGGAAGCTACTACTATATTGATCTAAGCAATGCGCAATTAAATCTTAATGTATGTTTATATTTTCCAAAATAAAAATAAAATTGTTAGTGTACCAGTCCAAACCAGTGTGAACGTTAATATATATATGTACGTGTTATTTGATCTATATAAATGTGTTATATAAACATGTATGGAATTGTCAGTGCACATATACAGGTGACTTACTTAATTATAACTATGTCCTCGGCTATTACAGGAGACTCAAGAACGGATTGAGAATGTCGGGCAGGTAGCACTGACTTTTGTCCGTTTTGTCAAATTGCAGAAAAATATTTTTCGGGGCCTCTCATCATAAACAATTCTTTTAGTGTCTTCTTAGAAAGGGTCAGACCCATAATTTGGTTTGGAAAATCTATATCTCCTTCCAATTATAAATCTCCCCTTTTTCTTGTAATGTTAATATTAATCTTTACAAAGTACATTTTCAATTATGCAGAGGTCAGTAATCAGGAGGAGAAGGGTTTGGAACTAGCCGTCCTTATGACCAGAAGAAGGCCCGCTCTGACTCAAAATTCAGTTTAAGCTCTAGCTATAACATTTCTCAGATAAGGCCAACGAAGGGGATAAAAAGTCCAGATTTTCTGCAAAAAAATTGCACCCATTTGAAACTGCCGGTTACTGGACTGAGAAGGAGAAGTAAAAGCACGATGTAAAAGGACCACTACCACGTACTTACGTAATTTATTATAGAAAACATAAAATGCACGTGTACTAAAGACACAAACCTAACCGCTGAGACTCTACACTTCTGCTTTCTATACTAAGACCATGATTGAAATAAAAGACAACGGGTGTGTTTTTATATTGAGAGTATCATCTAATCTACGTGTAACCAACGATTTAGAGCCACGCACGATCAATTTCTAAGGTCTATAGACTATACATATACTAGTCGACTAAGTGAACATACACTGTACAGTACATACCGATAAGAGTTGGTCCGTAAAATAGGATACAGCTTCCCTCTGTAAGGGACGTGAACTTATTTATTGACCAAAGAATATAATGAATTGAACACACTGTGATATGAAATTATACACGTAAGGTATCAAACCTTCGCTTTTTCATTATTATTATTATTATTATTATTATTATTATTATTATTATTATTATTTTATAAGAGTAAAATTTTGTTTTCTTAACGCAAATGCAAACTGCAGTTGTGGAAGTATTTATTGAATGTTCGGATCTGGCTGATACGCTGATGAAGTACAACATGGGAAATCAAAGATCTGAGCTCCACTGGAAGAAAAAGTGAATGTTGCAGCCAACATGTATACAGATCAGCAATAACACCCAGCCTAATACAACCTGCGGCGGAAATTGCTCGTTTGCAAAAGGCTAGGAGAAGAAGAAAAAGAAAATGATATCTGCGGCTTATAGACCAACTTGACTGTGCAGGTAACCATTGGCAATTAGGTTTGCAAAGATCATCAAACGACTAGATATGATGACATATGCACAGTTTATGTTGGGCGGACAGTCTCTGTGAATACATAAATAAATTTAAAATCATTTTGTAAATTAAACAAAGCAGTAGCTAACTTCCGTTCATTTAACTTTCTGTCTTTTTTTTTCAGCTCATTGAATTTAACTTTTGACAAAGTTGTATGGATAAGTTACACAGCGATTATGCGCGCGTGGGAGGGGGTGTGTGTGTTTATAGGGTTTCATTTTCAACTACCCAGTCCTTCGCGATACAGTGCTAACTGCAAATTGATTCTAGAATTTTAGGTCTCTTTCTAACCACTGTGTTTATCACACACTTCTCGCAAAACGGAAATCAATTTTTTCATGGGGGCAAACATGCCTGCCATATTGGAAATAAGGCAAACCCAGCCGTTGCTGTAGGCAATGATTTGAAAATGTGGGTTCCACAAAGCCATATGACGTTTTTTTTCTCTCTCAAACGGTTTTACAATATTTGGTTAAATGGTTAAAAGAAAGCGCTTACACCTCATGGGATAAAACCATGGTGTTTAGGCTACCAAAAAGCGACTTGAAATGACATCAAAGCTCATGGCACATTGTAGAAGTGAATGCAGAACTTGGGGGTTTGGGCTCAAAATAGTTTTACTTACCCCTCTCTCAGGTGGGGGGCGCGCTTACTTCTCCACCAATCTCGGAAGGAATTAGAACGCTCTCTGACGAACTTCCTTAGCGTTGTCACGTCCGCTGGTCCCGGCTCTCCTTCCATTTTAAGGGAGAAGGGCGCGTCGTCACTCTTAAGATGTTTCACTTTCGGCCTTTGGTCAGTTTAAAACACTCCAGTTTGCGCCGCGGCGCGCCCAATCTCTCCTCGGAGAGCATCGCGGGGATTAAAAGCCGTTCTTCCCGGAAAAAAAATCCCCACTTCTTCTCTTAAGATGCACGTCTAACGCCGTGAATCGACCCGGATGTTCGATCTCTCCATTAACTGTGTGTTGCACCTGCACTCTGTAGTTAATGTTCCCTCCTGCCTTTGTTAACACTGACGTCTGAACGCTGCCATTGATTTACGAGGGGGCAAGGACCGGGAAATATTGAAAAGCTATGAGAGTGGGAAACGCTAACACGGCAGATAATTCAATAGAGAAGTCCTGTTAATACACGATAGAAGGCAGTTGATGCGGGTGAATCTTTCCACGGTGTAAATAGTCTCAATGTGACCTCCCAATAGCTGTATGGTTGGTAAACAATGAGGTCGATGTTAGTCTGTATATATGAATTATGCACAGCGCGTGGATTAATTTTACATCTGAAGTACAGCAACTGGCTTAGTTGGCAAAGAAAGAAAGAAAAAAGAAGGAAAGGGCGAGAAAACAAAAGGATAACGAATGGGATAAAGGAAAAAAGGGAAGAAAAATTAGGAAAGAAGGAAAGACAAAGCAGCAGAACGAGAAAAAGAAAAAAAAGAAGAAAGTAATTTAAGAATGAAAGAAAGAAAAGTGTTCAAGGTAACGAGCAAATATCAATCAGACGGACAGAGCACAATAAATATATATGTCTTGTTTTTAATACAACCTCCGCTGAGGATGTTTTCGGTTCCGTTAGTTTGCGTTGGTTTGTCTGTCTGTTAGCAACATTACACAGAAAGTTATTCTGATAAAATTTTCAGGATAGATCAGAAGTTGGCCAAGGAACAGATGAATAGATTTTGATGATCAATACTATATAAATACATGGTTAGTTATTGTTGATTGTTTGTTTTAGCGGATATCTGCTCTCTGTAGGTGCTTTTCTAGTTATTATTATTGTTATTGCTGTTGAAACATGAAGGCGGTTTACCAACACACACACACACACACACACACACAGAGAGAGAGAGAGAGAGAAAGAGAGGCAGCCTTCTTCTTTTCACTCCCCCTCTCCCACCATCAACCATTTAGGTTATTTAAAACTTTAAAAAATTGCCAAATTGTTCTGCGTTTAATACTATGCTTCTTTTCCCCTATTGTCACATTCCCATTTCTCCTTCCGTCTTCAATGTTGAATTTATTCTCCTCCTCCTCCTCTCCCCAAAAACAGAACAGAACGTTGCAGCACATCGTCATACAACTAATTGTTCTTGCAGGTATTGATCAATTTACGGCAGGCTCGCCTCATTATCCGTGTTTACCATGTTTTTCGTTATCAGCCAGATATCAATAACTATCGATCTGCCCTTTAATATCATTGTTTTAACTGAGGCGAAAATTCCGTTTCAACTGATTTTGGAGATCTGTTCAGCAACTGCCTCAATATAATGTTAAACATTGCTTAGTATATAGCATTCAGATTTCAATAAGTATCGATCTCTTAACGCAGTCGAGGATGATTTAAAATAATGAATTTGTGGATTTAAGAAAGAAAGTGTTGTGGCAGAACTTTAAAAATCAATTTGATATTGTTTTATACATGTGCATATTGTTATATACCTCCTTGCCGAGTTAGCTGAATTGGTTGGGACAAGTTGGGAGGGGTTGGCGATAAATTCGACCAACCATAAGTCCTTGTCTTTCGTCTCTCACTCTCTCTCACACACGCGCTCTCTCCCCCCCCCCCTCTCTCTCTCTCTCTCTCTCTCTCTCTCTCTCTCTTTGTGACACACATTCATGGTCAGTCTAAAATCTCAGCTAACACATTGCCAAGCATGTCTCTGCAGAGGCTCTGTGTACATTGAGCGGTACATTTAACTGGGCCGGTACAATTTGAGAGAACTAAACGTGTAAAACAGGTGTTTTACCCCTTTTCACAAGTTCTCCACAAGCTTGTCTCCTGTTGTTTAGAAGCACGGAGATATGTTTTTGTGACTCTATAACAAAGTGGCTCATTTGTCAAAATTAAGGGATAGCATCTTAAAGCAATAGATGCAACTCAGTGCTTTATAAACGGTGCCCCCGCTCTAGATCTCTCCCCGCATGGCACTCAGCATTTAGGGGTTGAAACAGGGGTAAAGTTGATGGGCTGGCAGTCGTTTGCTAGCTTTCAGAGCCTCATACGACAGCTGGGCTGAATCCTCCCCAGGGAGGCGAGAGCGTCAACACCCAGAGTGTATCGAGTCCTAAAAGTACCAGGTGTCCAACCTAAACTGTGCTGTTCTTAACTATACCGGTTTTTTATGTAAAAGGTTATTTGTTGTCGGGAACCACGAGAGCCTACATTCTTTTTGGCGACTCCCGATTCCGGGGCCAGTTCGTTGTTGTGGCTGACTAGCATGCGTCATCTGGGACTCGAGCTCGTGACTTTGCGTTACCATGGCTTTTGGATTATTTTTGCAGCCGTGCCTCCGTTCCTACCTGTTTCCTCTTACAGTAATCAAACGCAATTTTTAGAAAGTATTTCTCGCAAAAATAAAATTACACGGAATATGGTAGGACTGGTATAAGCGTCTAACTGTGTGCAAGACAGCGGAGTTACCGCGGAGCCGCAGAAGCTTCTCTGATATACGAGGCCTTACTAGAGAAGGTGACACGGAGTACTCATAGACAGATTACCTTTTTACTATGGCTTTGTTTTATGCTGAAATTTAGTTTGGCCTCACCTATGACGTTAAAGAGCATAATGGGGTCAAAGGCTGTCCACACTGGGGCGGTTTTAATTTAAGCAAATCCTCAAGAAGATGGAGTCAATAAAAATCGTTCGAATGTGTAAAAGCTGATGCGCCTTCCATTCAAACAATTGCGACGATGAGAGTTTTGAGAAAAACATATTTAGCAAATAATACCGCCGAGAGAATATCATTTTTGTCAGTTAATGAGGGTTTTACAGGTGATATGACAGGGGCGGATCCAGGATTGTTTGAAGGGGGGACCGTTTTTTTAGCAATTAAAGGCGTTGGATATCAAGCCGACCCTTCCCCCCCCCCTGCGTGGGGTTTGGGGTCCAGAGAGGGCCCAAAAAATTGATGTTTTGGAGGGCAAACGGTGCCATTTGGTACGGTTTAGAATTATGGTTCAGTAAAAATTCTAATTTTAATAGAGGAATATTAGTGTGACTTTTTTCAGAAACCGAAGGGGGGGGGGGGGGAGTCAGGACTTCCCCGATCCCCCCTAAATCCGCCACTGGTAAGGGTGTTGTCATAAAGATGTTTTTAAACGAATTATGTATAAAAGTTCCATAGGCTTTTTACCAATTTTTGAAAAGATTTTTCCACATAAATATGTATTCAAAAGATCGAATTGCTTTTCAGAAAACAGTTGAATCTTAGCTAAAAAATTGGATAGGCATGATACATTCATGGAATAAAACCTCCTGAATGTGCATGTAGAGCCTGTACGCGACGGAAATGATTGCTTATAAAAATTAACTATTTATGCCTGTTATATTTGAGATTTCGTACTTGAAAGGGAAAGATTAAAAAGAAAGCAGAGCCTATCAAATTTATCTTGGATGTCATCATTTCCTCAAGAAGTGTACCTTATAACTTTAATGTTCTATTTAGCTATTAAATACGGTGAAGAAGCCTACATCATGGTATTCTGTTTTATCTCATGTACAGAACTAATCCATTTGTTTTCCTTTGAATAATTCAGAAGCAATTCTGGAAAATTATTCACTGTGTTAATGGATATATAAATGCTTCATTTTCAAGAATTATTACTTGAATAAGAATGGCGCCATGGATGGCTGCCAGTGCCACAGATTGGCTTTTCACAGGATATTCACAGATATGTCTTTAGATAAATAGACGGTCATTTAACTATCTCTGGATTTTCCCGTTTTTCCTGTATAAACTGCCACCCTGGTAGAGGGTACTGCAATGGCGGGTTTTGGGGGGTTACAGAGGGGTCCTGACCCCCTCCCACCCTTCGATTTCTGAAAAAAATCACACCAATGGTCCCATCTTGAAATTATAATTTTGACTAGCTGAATCATAGTTCTAAACCGTACCAGATGGCATCGTTCGCCCTCTGAAATACCAAAGTGGGGGAGGGGGGGGGGGGGGTGAGGATCGGCTTCGCATCTCTGGATCCGTTCCTGTTCTGTGTTATTTTATTTAATGTGTCTTTGATGAGTTTTGTGGAAGACATCCTTTAAAAAGATGGCAGAGAAGGAGCGAAATCATATAAAGACACTGTATAATCGCGCAGTTCTCTAAATTTCGCAGTTCTTTACAAATATTTTTATATAATTTCCGCACATTAAATATTTCCGAAAGTTTGATTTGTCTTCCAGTAAACATCTGAATCTTTGAAGGAAATTTGGATAGACATACAGGGTACGGTCGCTTGCTCTGCTTGGATACTTGTTATTGCTATTGGTTTTTAAAGTGTTCCGATGTGTGACATGAATGGAAGTCCACAAAAAACCGTAGTCCGCTTCCCCTTGCTTTGTACAGGTGACATTCGTCCCGTTTACTAACCCCAACACACCGACTAACCCTAACCTGTACTAATCAATTCATATGGGAGCCCGGACTTCCATTACTAGGACTACCATTCCGGCAGCGGGTTTAAAAGTACGGCCAGTGGGTGCAAGGCTGTCTCTGGTGACGTGGACGTGTTCGCTGTACTTCCGCGCTGTCGGTAGAGGGGAATCACGCAGGGAAAAAAACTTTGTGGAAGATTTTTTTCTGTCGCCGCTGAAGAAGCGGGGAATTTCCGTCAGTAGTGTGCAGACGGCAACCTCGAATTTATAGGAGGGGAGAATCAGAATATGACAGTTATTCGAATTAACAGAAGTTAGATGAGGGAGTTGGATTAGTCGCTGATAAGAGAGTCTTAGCTATACCAGAAGCGTTTCAAAATTTTTAGAGACTATAACCTCTAAAAGTGTATTATCAGTTGTTTGTTTGAAGATGAATAAATAAATAAAACTGTATTTGTACCAGGTGTGTTTTAGATTGCTTACCACAAATGTGCAAATTTAATACATGTACAAAGCGAATCTTTTTTTGGCTGCCATCATTTTCCTAATTAATGCAGGTATAGATTATTATTTTGTTGTGTAGCTATTGAATTAATAAATACGTCGTATGAGCCTAGAGAAAAAACATTCTACCTTATTTCAGGTTTATTTTTTCTGTCGCCGCTGAAGAAGCGGGGAATTTCCGTCAGTAGTGTGCAGACGGCAACCTCGAATTTATAGGAGGGGAGAATCAGAATATGACAGTTATTCGAATTAACAGAAGTTAGATGAGGGAGTTGGATTAGTCGCTGATAAGAGAGTCTTAGCTATACCAGAAGCGTTTCAAAATTTTTAGAGAATATAACCTCTAAAAGTGTATTATCAGTTGTTTGTTTGAAGATGAATAAATAAATAAAACTGTATTTGTACCAGGTGTGTTTTAGATTGCTTACCACAAATGTGCAAATTTAATACATGTACAAAGCGAATCTTTTTTTGGCTGCCATCATTTTCCTAATTAATGCAGGTATAGATTATTATTTTGTTGTGTAGCTATTGAATTAATAAATACGTCGTATGAGCCTAGAGAAAAAACATTCTACCTTATTTCAGGTTTATTTTTTCCTTTGTTTCCTTTTAAATAATTCAGATTTAATTTTGGAAAGAGATTTCATTTGCCTTTGTTTGCTACGTATACCAGAATTCATTTATCAAATGAATACATTTGTTTCACTTCAAATATTTTAGATTCAATTTGGAAAAAATGAATAAACTGATGGCATACAAAATACTAATGATATCTAGACTGTTATTCACCCTCATTTAATTCTGTACCTTAAGTTATTTTAAGTGATAATAATAATAATTCAATTTAATTTCAATTTATTTCTGTACTGGTACATAAATAACCATGACCTTGTACATAATAATAATAACAACGTAATAATTTTTGAGTTTCGAAGCTATAAAATATGACACTACAACTAAAATGGTTATTTCAAATTGAAAAATTGAAAAGTAATGATATTAAAATGGTATTAAAAGTGAAGAGAAAAATACCCTATTATAATGTTCTGTAAAGTATAAAAATGTTCAATCATTAAATTGTAAAAGATAAACCTAGCATTATTTGAAACGCTAAGCAGCAGTTATCTGATAATGTGTAAAACAAAAACACACGAAATTGGAGAGTTGGCAACCCTTTCGAACAAGAGATAATCCATCTATCCTATCTTGGGGGGAGGGAGGGGGGGGGGAGCAGAGCAACATGCCTTTTCTGGCCTTTTTCTCTTACATATTGCTACTTGTGTCATTGTTTGAACATATATATATATATATGCAAGCCAGACATCAGAGCCGCTTAAGCTGAGGGCAGTTTAGCGAGAAACACCTCGGAGATGGACCGATCCCGCTAGATCGATCTAGGTATGGGAATGGGGTCTAAGTCCCATCAGCTTAGGTAGAATATAGAAAAGCTTGTGTTACACGAGCACGGTGGAAAAAACAGGTGTGTCATTCAGTTAAGCTGATTGTACTAAGCGGGAGATCCACGTAGACCGATGGTGTGTCTAGGGGACCATTCCCACAGATATTTGGATCGATCTATCTCCCTGGGGAGTCTCAATAAATTGCTATCAAACTAATCGACTTAAACGTCTGTCACGCCTAGTAAAACTGTTAGGGGGTAAATATTATCTTTACCCCTAACTGATTCGGTGTGCGTGACAGACATGTAAGCCTCTTGAGCTGATAGCAATTTAGCGAGAACCCCCAGGGAGTTAGGTCGATCCAGATGGATCGATTTAAGTATGGGAACCCAGTCTATGTGAATGAGGTCCTAGTTATCTATAGGAGCAAATCTTTTGCCTAAATCATTTCATTACAATTCTTAATTGGCGAAAAGCATTCGAAATGCATGCCTAGAAATCTGTAAAAAAAAGATCAAAAGAATGCATCAAAACATCAGTTAAGAGTTTATTAATCTTTTACTATTGGCATAATACCTGTATAATGCGGGTCATACAGTGGCATCACTCTGTTAGTATTGACATTAAGTAATGAGAAGGCGACAAGGAAGTGGCGGTGGCTATAAATTGCCCGGATTACCGTGCTTTCAGAAGCATTGCCGACTCGGAAGTTCTCGCAGAACAGAAACAAGGTAAGAGTTAACATCACTGTAATGGAAAGGTACCTATTTTTTAAAATCCTCACTCATGTACACGCGTCGAGTCCGTAGCCAGGGGGTTCGTGGAGGGAGGGGTGTTTCGATCATACCGCCCTTTTTGTGTGTGTGACAGGAGTGTTCGTCCGCCAGGAACTGTTGTTCTTTCTTTATTACTTTGCACAAGTGGCATATAATCCCATATACATTGTACTAACCCCGTAATACTCCGACTTGCCCTTACCTGTACTGATCATGTGGGACCCATATTTCCATTTTTAGGACTGCCATTTCTGTGGCAACGGACAGGTGCATGAAGGTTTCGTGGAAAAAAGTTTCTTTTTTTCCGAAAAAGACCCCCCCCCCCTTTGAAATCGCTGGCTACGGTTCTAATATATCAATTATTGCAACGCATAATTCTAAGGCACCGTTGTAACTTTGTTAAAGTCGATCCAAACTGTTGCTTGTAAAAGGGACACGGTTTTCTGGTGAATAAAGGTTTTCCCATCATTTTAGTGACATTTTGATAATATCTTTGAATACATTTTTACCTAGGTTGGTACATGATGAATACGCTGATTGTTATTATCTCGTGCATCTACATGGCCCGTGCCCTTCCACACCCTGAAAAAACCATGAGAGTGGAGAAAACCAAGCGGGATGCTGGAGCGATAGGCCTACACGTAGGCAATTTATTTTACTTTATTTATCAATGTCTACATAACGTTTTTAAAAAGAGACCTGCACAGAGAAATTTATAAAAGGAATAAATGAAAAAAAAAAAGACAATTTTACCCATATAGATAGATATAAAGATGTTTGATATCGCTCCACCGATCACGTGTCTTGCTTGGTCTCAGCATTGACGACGATGAAACGCATTTTTGACATTATGGCATATAATATTGAAAATTCAACATTCATTTTTAATGGTATATTTTCGGGTTGATTTTGTTATGTTAAAGCAGCTGTTCAGTACACTAGTGCAAGTGTATAATTTGGCAGAAGCGATCTCAACCACTTCGTTTGTAGATCATATATTTTTTCGTATTTCCAGCACTACAATGTCCATGCCCATGAAATGGGAACCCTGGTTGAAGAAAAAGTGGATGTGGACGAAGAGCGAGGACTGGTCAGCTACTCCATTCCACAGCACAATGACATAGACGAATCTGTGTTTGTGTACGATTTCAAAAATGTAAGTTGCACATGTATGTTACTTTAGGCCACATGGCTTTCATAATTTCAGCTTCGTGCAATTTGGTTTTTAACCGATGATTTCTATTGTTATCTGTTTATAACCAAAAATGTTTATCACAGTTGTTTGCATTTAATATACAGGACATGTTTGGCATGTGCATTACAATGTACACTTGATAAAATAAAGGCGGTAAATTTAAAATCCATTAAAACTATCACTTTCTTTCTAGAATCTGACTCTGATGATTTTTGCACAAGCAGGAAAATGTTATGTGGCTCCTTTGGACGACCGCGAGTCACAAGATCCAAAGACGACCGTTGCAGCTTTTCAGAGCACAGGCGAGCAGGTATTATTTCACACATTACATCTAACTGTCTACCTTTTTAATAAGATATACCGTTAATTATTAAGTGCTAACTTCAACCTTGGTTCAAATATTTAGATAAATATACAAATTGTGTTAGGTAAAATAATCTACCGAATACCAATTGCATCTATAGCCCTTAGTCGTATGGTGGCTTTATATCTATATAGGAAAAGGCTGTAAGCGGTATTGAGACCGACTCCTATGTCATAGATGGCGGGGAAGTTGAAGCGGATGCCGTTCTTCCCCCTGATCTTGTCGAACGATGTTCCGGAATGTCTATGTCAAGAGTGAAACCAATGTTGGAAACATTTAGTTTTGACTCGGACGGTAAGTAAAGTAACGGAGCTGAAAATTTAGCAGGTGTCACATTTCCTGTCACAACCCTTCTCCTCAAGATTCTTTTCATAGTTTTCCTATCCACACCCAAACGTCTGGTTATCTCGATTTATTCTACGCCCCTATCTGCATATGCAACCATTTGGTGACGTATTACCATATCTGTAGGTCGCAGCNGGAGGGGGGGGAGCAGAGCAACATGCCTTTTCTGGCCTTTTTCTCTTACATATTGCTACTTGTGTCATTGTTTGAACATATATATATATATATATATATATATATATATATATATATATATATATATATATATGGGAATGGGGTCTAAGTCCCATCAGCTTAGGTAGAATATAGAAAAGCTTGTGTTACACGAGCACGGTGGAAAAAACAGGTGTGTCATTCAGTTAAGCTGATTGTACTAAGCGGGAGATCCACGTAGACCGATGGTGTGTCTAGGGGACCATTCCCACAGATATTTGGATCGATCTATCTCCCTGGGGAGTCTCAATAAATTGCTATCAAACTAATCGACTTAAACGTCTGTCACGCCTAGTAAAACTGTTAGGGGGTAAATATTATCTTTACCCCTAACTGATTCGGTGTGCGTGACAGACATGTAAGCCTCTTGAGCTGATAGCAATTTAGCGAGAACCCCCAGGGAGTTAGGTCGATCCAGATGGATCGATTTAAGTATGGGAACCCAGTCTATGTGAATGGGGTCCTAGTTATCTATAGGAGCAAATCTTTTGCCTAAATCATTTCATTACAATTCTTAATTGGCGAAAAGCATTCGAAATGCATGCCTAGAAATCTGTAAAAAAAGATCAAAAGAATGCATCAAAACATTAGTTAAGAGTTTATTAATCTTTTACTATTGGCATAATACCTGTATAATGACATTAAGTAATGAGAAGGCGACAAGGAAGTGGCAGTGGCTATAAATTGCCCGGATTACCGTGCTTTCAGAAGCATTGCCGACTCGGAAGTTCTCGCAGAACAGAATCAAGGTAAGAGTTAACATCACTGTAATGGAAAGGTACCTATTTTTTAAAATCCTTACTCATGCACACGTGTCGAGTCCGTAGCCAGGGGGTTCGTGGAGGGAGGGGTGTTTCGATCATACCGCCCTTTTTGTGTGTGTGACAGGAATGTTCGTCCGCCAGGAACTGTTGTTCTTTCTTCATTACTTTGCACAAGTGGCATATAATCCCATATACATTGTACTAACCCCGTAATACTCCGACTTGCCCTTACCTGTATTAATCATGTGGGACCCATATTTCCATTTTTAGGACTGCCATTTCTGTGGCAACGGAAAGGTGCATGAAGGTTTCGTGGAAAAAAGTTTCTTTTTTTCCGAAAAAGACCCCCCCCCCCTTTGAAATCGCTGGCTACGGTTCTAATATATCAATTATTGCAACGCATAATTCTAAGGCACTGCTGTAACTTTGTTAAAGTCGATCCAAACTGTTGCTTGTAAAAGGGACACAGTTTTCTGGTGATTAAAGGATCATATTAGTGACATTTTGATAATATCTTTGAATACATTTTACGTAGGTTGGTACATGATGAATACGCTGATTGTTATTATCTCGTGCATCTGCATGGCCCGTGCCCTTCCACACCCTGAAAAAACTATGAGAGTGGAGAAAACCAAGCGGGATGCTGGAGAGATAGGCCTACACGTAGGCAATTTATTTTACTTTATTTATCAATGTCTACATAACGTTTTTAAAAAGAGACCTGCACAGAGAAATTTATAAAAGGAATAAATGAAAAAAAAAGACAATTTTACCGATATAGATAGATATAAAGAGATTTGATATCGCTCCACCGATCACGTGTCTTGCTTGGTCTCAGCATTGACGACGATGAAACGCATTTTTGACATTATGGCATATAATATTGAAAATTCAACATTCATTTTTAATGGTATATTTTGGGGTTGATTTTGTTATGTTAAAGCAGCTGTTCAGTACACTAGTGCAAGTGTATAATTTGGCAGAAGCGATCTCAACCACTTCGTTTGTAGATCATATATTTTTTCGTATTTCCAGCACTACAATGTCCATGCCCATGAAATGGGAACCCTGGTTGAAGAAAAAGTGGATGTGGACGAAGAGCGAGGACTGGTCAGCTACTCCATTCCACAGCACAATGACATAGACGAATCTGTGTTTGTGTACGATTTCAAAAATGTAAGTTGCACATGTATGTTACTTAGGGCCACGTGGCTTTCATAATTTCAACTTCGTGCAATTTGGTTTTTAACCGATGATTTCTATTGTTATCTGTTTATGTCCAAAAATGTTTATCTCAGTTGTTTGCATTTAAGGGTCTATTCCCACAACTTAAGATCGATCTATCACCGCGGGGAGTCTCACTAGATTACTGTCAGATAATCCCCCTTAAGTGTCCGTCCCCGCCTACTACAAGCTGTAAGGGGTAATTAACTTTCGTATCCGCCCGGCTGACAGCTATTTAGNGTACTCAAATATTTTGCCTTTCGCAAAACCAGATCCAAGTCCAAAGTTAATGGACTATAATGTGACTGTCAGAATACTTGTTTAAGCTTACGGCTTCATTTCACAACTGTTTTCTGTACAGAGACCTTTCAATTTAACTGTCTTTGGACTGCATGGGAACAATAACCGGATTTCTTTTACAACTATACATAAGTAGGTTCTGAATATACCTAATATAGTTTAAAGGTGTTAATGTTTATATATATTATTATATGTTTATTATATAATGTTTATAATGTCGTTTATAACTGTGAATATACATGTACGTCTTTCTCTGCTGTTTGAGAGCAAAACTCATGTATTGAGTCAAGTTGATATACATGTAAAACTTAACCTTAGTGACATCTTTATTTTGATGTATTTTTGATTTATGTCCCTCTTTGCTTCCGCTGGGATTCAAAGAAATTAATAAATGTTGCATCTGCACGCTTATTTTTTCTGTTGGAGCACCTAATTAAAATGTACACTGTGACGCCTCTCTTTTTTGTATCTCCTCTACTCTCTCACTGTTCAGATAATGTACATACGATTTCAGAAACTATTGATTTCTTGAAATTCTTTATACCAAGTCTCTTATAGTCCAATTCCATTGCAAAGTCGCATTTCTGTAGCATCGATTTCTGTTATCAGAAATTTATTATCTTTCGTTAATTCCATCGGTATAAAACCTGTATTACACCTAGTAAAATATTGACTATTTTTGCTGGGTTGATTATAGAAGAAACACTAATTCTTTCAACGCGAATTCTGTTTGGCTTGCTTGATATTTGTCACACATAGCAATGAGACTTACCCAACTGGTACATGGCCAGCTTTATTATGGACAAATTGATTGGATTGTGTTAGTTGAGATTTTTCATCGCCTATGAGTGTGTTTCGGGGATAGGGAAGGGGAGTTGAATGTGTTTTGGAGAGAGAAGGACGGAGAGGGGGTGGAGTTGGGGAAGGGTGGGGCTAGTAAGTGTAGCAATTAGGACGTTAAATTTGTCGACAAAACTCCTGTAGTATATAGCAATAATATAGCAACAATAATGGTTCTTTTTGTTGATTTTTGATTATCATTTGAAGTGTTGATGTGTTCGCCTCATTGCTGAAGGCGTGAAAGAAAATGATCAGGGAAGGTTAAGGAAAATCTTGCCTTAAGAATGATAGCTTAATTGACATTTCTTAAAATATTTACCAAGAAGACAATGTAAACTGATTTTACACATTATCTCCTTTTATGTGGTGTCAAACATCTTTTAAATTAAGAAAAAATGAAGATAAAAGTAATTAAAAAAATTGCACTGTGGATGCAGATGAAACCCCCCGCTCCCCTGTTTACAATAATATTTTATCACAGGCAAACAGATAACCATCCAGTCTCCTGAAGACCTACTTTATAGGACTTGAGATAGTGCAAAGGCTGGTAGGCGTAAACTTATATCAAAGATGGATGTCGTGTGGCTGCCGTTTTTGTTCTTCTTGCGCGTTTCCTTCGCTCAGATTCCGCCTTTAGCTAAACATGAGATGGGTCAAATGAAGGTAATAATAATAATAATAATAATAATAATAATAATAATAATAATAATAATATGGTATAATTGTTGAATGCAAATGCAACTTTGATATGATGAAATCCATTACAAGACATTGTAGGCCCATACATCGTAAATGCAACGTCATGGAATGTCATCTTTATGCATACTACTTGTACTATATTTTCTAATTTAATATGTTAAAATTTTTTCTACGCTTTAAAAGAGAGAGAGAGAGAGAGAGAGAGAGAGTGTGTGTGTGTGTGAGAGGGAGAAAAAAAGAGCTATAGTCTTAAATTCACGTATACAATACTTTATGTCCATATAACTGTCTTTGTTTTAGTGTGAGAACAAGACAACATGCTCACAGTTAAAAGAACTGGAATACCGTTTCCTCCGCTCGACTACCGAGCTACAGAGTAGCTACATTACACAGGGGAGATTTGTCCAACAGTTAAGTTTAAAACAACATGATCTAGAACGCCAAGTCCTTGTAAACAACGCAAGCGTCACCAACCTTAATGCCAAAGTTGAATCTATTACCCGTACATCAAATGTACTAAGGAATGACACGTCCCACTTGGGAATTACGATTGCGTCACTCGAAGAAAGGATTTCGAACAATTATGGACTTCTTAATAAAACCGAAAAAGCTCTACTTGATATGGAGGTCAAGGTCACTAAAAACAAAGACGACTTCACGGCAGCCAACAGGGATTTTGTTTTATTGAGGTCTGTGGTAAACGGTGCAGCTTTGAAACTCACACAGCTGGAGCAAGAGATACAAAAACTGAAGATTGATGCGGTTCGTTTTCATACGTCAAGTATGTATATGTGTCTCTTAATAGATTTTAGCTACATGTTTAACATGATGTGTCATAAGGTAAATGTTTGTGAAACCGCAGACAGCATCTGATTTTCATAATCTAGAATCTTCCGAAGAACGAATCACTTTTGTCA